CGTTTTTCAAAAACACAACACAAAGAAACTAGGAGCCCCTCCTTTCTTTCGTAAACAAATTTCAGATTTTTCAAATTTTTGTTTTGAAAATATTTGCACAAGCTGCGCGCTGTGCCTTCGGTTTCTTCGGTACTCGTACTCGTACTGGCCGCGACAATTTCTCAACTCGACTGAGTTGTGTGCGCCTCCTTGCTCAAAGTTTTTATGCAGCCAAATGCGCGCAGCTTATTTCTCAATTTCTTTATTATTATTTTCTCAGATAAATCAGACAGGCGAGGATGGTTGCCTAAAATTGAACTTTAAATTTGTTAAAGCAATCTAATGTTGGTATACGAAATCTTATTCATTAAAAAAACCTGTTTAAAATCATTAGCAAGTGAAAGCAGGATGCTGATATTATTTAACAAAGTTTTAATTTTTAGCAACAAATTGAATCAACATAAATGTCATTATAATTAGTTGTATTAAGTTGGAGTTTTAAAGTCTACAGAAAACTGTTTTCTCAAGATATTTTATTGTGAGCTGAAGGTTGGAAGAGTAACAAAGTATACAGTACATAGGATTAAAAAGCCAATAAATCAAAGCCTATTAATATTGTAAGTATGGAATCATTTTTTTAAAGTTTAAAATTTTTCAAATATGGATTTAACTAACAAATGTATAAGTGGATATCCCCGAGTGTGTCGCGTCTTCAATACATAATTTGTTCAATATTTATTTCGCTTCATGTTTTGTGTTGTGTTTTTGGTATTGCATGTGACGTTGACTTGACGTCGACGTTGACGCAGACGTCGACTGCACTCTTGACTCTGTTTGGCAGGTTTTTGGCGACGCTACCATAAGACTCCCGATCACCACCCACCGATTGCCCCCATACAACCCCCTGCAACTCATCGCAAATGTGAGTTTCGACGCGCAGCTGATTTTGTTGTTATTCTATTCATAGAACTGGTTGTGGTCTTTTGTGTTTTTTTTTTCAGTTTTTTGTTGTATTTTTTAGGTGTTCTCTGTTGCTGGCCACAATTGAATGTGCCTCCTGCAAAAATGATTCGTTTGTGGCCATCGCTGGCGGTCGCACCAAGTACATTCCGCATTCCGAGTTGCCCCGCCGGTTGACTCATGAGTGGCGAATAAAATATGCTAAAGCTAAATCAAAAATTGCCATAAAACAAGGAAATATTCAATTAAACTCTTCCAATTAAATTCCAGTCTAAACACTCTGCAAACACTGTTCAAATTAAACATATTAACATAAGATTTTAATAAGTCAATTAAATTAATAAGTTAATGTCATTTTAAAATTTGGAAGTGTAAGTAAAGTTTTAGTAGACAACTAAACTTTTGTAGTAGCCCAAATTTTAGGAATTTTAAATACAATTATTGAAGAAAACCCCAAAACCAAAAGCGATTATAAGAAATTCCGTTTTTATTTATGCTGTGTAGTTTCGTGAATGTTATACCAGCACTAAAAACTATGATAAAACTCGGTAAGATTCGATTTAAAGAGAAAAACAAATAAAATTTATGAGTAAACTTGGGTAAACCAATTAAAAAATTTATCAACATTTTTAATAAAAAAAAATGAAGAGCTCTTCCTTAAAAAATTGAAGCACCATTGCACCAATTCAAGATACATTCAAACTCACTACTAAACATTCTTCTATTTCAAATTAACCAATTAATTTTGACGTTGCCTGTGACGCGAAGCGCGTGTACTTTTAATAAATTTTATTTGTATTGGTAATCGTTATTCATTGATTTCAAATTTATCCAACAGCTGCTTCGGCTGTTAATTTTTTATGCTGCGCATACGCCTCGTTGCCAACAAGAAATTACACGTGCCAAAGCTTTTTTTTGCTTTTTTTGCTTTCCTAGTTCTGCCTCTGCCACTTACATATTTAACGCCGACTACTAATTACATACAATTAACAAAGGCTCAGCGGGACAAAAAGAATATTGTGCGTAAAGGTTACAAAGGTGGTTCCGACTTTTCAAACTTCTAAAATAAATACACACTTTAAATTCACATCTGTCCCTTAATTTGGAAATCGTATAAATAAATTAAATATTTGGAAGAGTAATGACGCTGTTTACTTTAAAAATAAACCACATGTCCAACTGTTTTATTGTAGCAATTTGTCTAACAATCAAAATCAAATAAGATAGAACATATAAAATTAAAAAAAATATATATACGATGTATCAGTTTGTATTTAAATCTGCAGAGATGAAGTTCTTAACCATCATTGTGCTCCTGTGTGCCCTGGCAGCCTGTGCTCTCGCCCAAGACAGCACAACTTCCTCTTGGTATTCTGACCAAGATTCCTCCACTTGGGACTGGCCGAATCCTGCACCTATTCCCGTGTCACCTCCTTGTGACGAGAAGATCCAAGGACCCTGCGACAAACTAATTAAGGGCGCCCAGAAACTCTACTTTTTCTATTGAAGTCATCGAAAATCTGTCTAGAATAAATAATTTGGAAAAACTAATTGCTCAATTTCCCATAGATATGCCCCGAAAGTACCACAGGTGAGCCAGAGCGTGCGATCGTGGCTAAATAAAGATCGCAGGCGGGGTTAACATCTGGCGCCCGACAGATAAATGCACTTTACGTTCTCACAGCTAAACATTAATGGCTCTTTTGCTGGCATCCAGCAAAGAGGGCTTTCATCGGCGGGATATATCACAAAATGGCAACGCCTTGTACGCAATATTTCAACCAGAAATTCACATAACATGAAATATTCGGAATCTATTATATTTCTTGCATATATTTATTTAAAATGTATAGTTGGCCGGCCGTACACTTTTGGCCGTATTATTCATCACTCTTTGTAGATATGTCGTGGATATTTTATCGCACATTTGCCTTTATTGGAGACATTATTTAATCATAATTTAGCATTTTCCCTTGCTTTCCGACAATTGAACCCACGATTATGCACTAGTTGCGAAATTTCACTTGCTATATATTCGTGTATATATAGAAATATGAGCGACACACGCGCCTACATATAGTTTACGGACTGCGTATACGCCGCGTATTCCAAAAGAATATCAAAATCCGCACCGCACACGTCCAAGTCAATGCAGCAACTGAAAATCTTTTCGAAAATGCCAAAACACAACCCACAACTGAGTGTTTTTGTTCTGCTTGTTGATTTTCATTTTTTTTTTGGTTTTCCCTAGCTGAATGGCGAGCGAGAAATATTTTCAGAATCTCCATGCTCCGTGAGCGATTTCTGTCGACATTTTTCTCCTAACTGAAAACATGACTAAGACCACGGCTGTCTGATTCTTTTGGGTCTACCTGCATCCAATTAGAGCACCGCTACACGTGTGGCCAATGCGACACTTCCCTGTCTCCGGCATAAATCAGAAATGAAAATGCGGCGCGAGGATGAATCAGTCGGACATTCCGGCTGTCTGTCTGCAAAGCCTGCTGGCCCGTGGCCAAGAATTCAATTGACCTCCTGGAGCATTCAAATTATCCGTAGTCAATATTCATTCAAAAACTATGATATCATTTTACAAACTAGAATTTAGAAAGTAGTAAGATATTTCACAGTTTGTGTAAGTATATATTAGGAATTTGGGAAAAGCAGATTCAGATTAACAATAGATTAATTTGTTTTGAAAATATTTACTTATGTTTTCAAGCCATAATAAAATTTTCTTAGATTTAAAAACAATTAACAGATCTCTAAGAATTTGTAAATCATAATAAATTAATCTTCTTACACTTGCGATAGTTCAGCATTATTGATTGAAATCATCAGTTGCGTCACTCATGTTCTTCTGCCTATTAATAATTATGAGTACATTTAATATATTGTACAAACAAAACTACATTTTGTTCCCTAGTTGGATCGGGATTTAAGCATTCTGCAAGGGTATAGAAACTACGTCTTATCGAAGTTAGATTTCCCTTTTGCTTATCATCATAGACATCGTTTATTTGAGCTTGCTTAAGCGTATTTATTTAGCCGATTATTGTCTGCTGATTGACCTGCGCACACTTGCCGTTGCCACTCATCGTTTGCCGCATCCAATCGCGGTAGTACATGACATCCGTAAATAGATCCGGCACGCCTTGAGCACACGGAACGAAGAAGTTGAGTATGCCGACCAGGGTGGTGCCCTGGTGGACCAAAGGACCTCCGGAGTCGCCGTGGCAGGCGCCAACGTTGGCCTGCCGATAGGCGCAGATGTGGCCGGGACCCAGTTCCAGATCCTCGTAGCCGGAGAGCAGGGATCGGCAGGCCTGTTTGCTGAGATGTTGCTGCTGGACGCGCTGCAATTGGGAGGGCAAACTGCCCGCCGCCGACTGGGCTCCCCAGCCGGTGAAGATCAGCTCAAAAGTTCCTTGTGGAGAAAGTGGGGAGGTCGGAAGCTGCACAGTCTGCGTTAGAGCATCAAAGCCAATGGTCTCGTTCACTTTCAGCAGCCCAATGTCATTGTGGTACTTGGGACTGTCGAAGTTGCAGTGCAGGTAGATGGCTTCCGGATAATACAGAGCGCCTGGTTGCGCATACCGCACTGTTCCAGTGGCCACTTGCAGCCGGCTGGCTGGATATCCTTTGACACACTGACCCGCCGTGAGTATCCAGCGGTCCGAGATGATGGCGCCACCGCACAGGTGACTGCCCACCAGCGTTTGCAGCGACACCTGGTACGGAGCATCCCCTTCGGCGGCATTCTGACCGCCCACTATGAAGTCCTCCTGAGCCAGGAGGTCGCCAAAAAGTGAACCAAAAAGGAAAAGGTAGGTAGGTAGGTAGAACCGTGCAAACGACATGGTTGAATGGCAATCGCAGACTGAACTTGTTTGGGTTTACCCTCTGCGATTTTGATAGAGCCATCGTAAAGGCAACACGGCCTGACCAAAGGTTCTACCAATCGGGCCATAAACTGATTTTTTTTATCTGATTCCGATAAATGGTCAGAAAAGGCATTGCCGGGCTATAGTTGCAAACTTCATTACCCGACTGGGGCCAGAACCAAGATGTCAGCAGTGGTTTTGCTCATTTTACTGGTACTCGAAGGATTCTCTTCCATTTCAGCCATTCGCATTAAAGGAAACTCATCCGAAGAAGGGATTTTCGAAAATCAACGGATCGTTGGGGGTCAGGTGGCTGACGATGGTTTTGCCCCGTATCAAATATCGCTGCAAGGCATCTCCGGCGCCCATTCCTGTGGCGGTGCCATCATTTCCGAGCGATGGGTCCTGACGGCAGCCCATTGCGTGGTCAGTGCCAACATCCAATGGCTGGTGGTCGTCACGGGCACCAATAAGTATAACCAACCCGGAGGCAGGTATTTGCTTAAAGCCATCCACATCCACTGCAACTACGATACTCCCAAGATGCACAATGACATCGCCCTGCTGCAATTGATTGAGCCGATTGGGTGGAACGAACGCACCCAGCCGATTCCACTGCCCCTGGTTCCCATGCAGCCGGGTGACGAGGTGATCCTCACCGGCTGGGGATCCACGGTCCTCTGGGGCGCCAGTCCCATCGATCTGCAGGTTCTTCACCTTCAGTACGTGCCGCATCGGGAGTGCAAGATCTTGCTCAGCGGCGACGAGGACTGCGATGTTGGCCACCCTCTGCGACAGGGAGAGGGTGCCTGCCACGGAGACTCCGGCGGACCCCTGATCAGCAATGGCTACCTCGTGGGACTGGTCAACTGGGGATGGCCCTGCGCCACTGGAGTTCCGGTGAGTGATAAGGAATTTCCAGCCATTCGAGTCTTGTGCGATCGACATTTCGAATTATCGATCTCGAGTTTTAAAGCAGTATTTTTAGCAGTGAACTCAAACCAAAAGAAACTCTAGCCATTTAAGTTTTGCACAATCTACTTAAATATCTTATTTTCGATTTTGTTTGCAAAGTTTGCAAAGCAGTATATAAGTATCCTAAGCAATGAAGTCATAGAACAACCTTTGTACTAAACTTGTTTAAGATAATCATATTTTAACAACTTCCATAGAACATCGAAAGATAAGATAAAACCATGCAAATATTGATTTTGATTGCATGAATATTATATGAAACTTAAACTGTTTTTGATATGTTAGATGTTATATCAAAATAATAGTGACAAATATTTGAATGCTCCACATCTCTTGGAGTCGTGTAAAAGTTAACAAATCACTTAACTTGTAAGCCCAGAACTACAAATATCACCCTCATTGCAGGACGTCCATGCCAGTGTGTATTTCTATCGGAGTTGGATACGCGATGTCATGAGTGGCAATGCCAAATGCACTGGCTTCGGCTCTAACCAGACCTAAAGGTTCCGTATTCTGCGGCTATCGATGTCCATAAAGCAGACCCGTTTATAAGGCCTCGATAAAATAGCCCTCGATAAGAGTTGGCTAATGAATAAATTTTTGATAGCGATGGAGGTGGCTTTTAGTGTTCAGTACGTGTCCAAACGCTCGAGATGCAGCTGCTCTGCCCCAGTATTTTGATCCTCCTGCTGCTGCTGCAGCCCCCGCATCCCAGCCAGGCGAAGCGAGTGGTGGGACCCTATGCCACGGCTCCATCGAGCAGGATCAAGGGCGGCGAGCTGGCGGAGGTCGGATTTGCCCCGTACCAGGTCTCGCTGCAGCCCATTGTGGGTTCGCACAACTGCGGTGGGGCCATTCTGAACGAACAGTGGGTCATAACCGCCGGACATTGTGTGGAAAAGCTTATTCCTGAGCTGGTCAACGTGATCACGGGCACCAACAAATGGGCAGAGCCGGGTGCCGTTTATTACACGGCTGAGATCCACATGCACTGCATGTACGATCAGCCCTATATGCACAACGACATCGCCCTGGTGAAGCTCACCCGGAACATCACCTTCGATGAGCTGACCCAACCCATCGCACTGCCCACTAGACCCGTGCATTCCGGCGACGAGATCGTCCTCACGGGTTGGGGTGCCCACGAGCCCTACGGTGGCTCCGTGGAGGACCTGCACAAGTTGTCCTTGGGATTTGTGCCGCTGAAGGAGTGTTACGACATCTTCAACCAGACCAGCAGCATGGGCGTGGGCCACATCTGCACCTTTTCGCAGGAGGGCGAGGGCTCCTGCCATGGCGATTCCGGCGGTCCGCTGGTCAGCGATGGCCGCCTGGTGGGCGTGGTCAACTGGGGACGACCTTGCGGGGTCGGATTCCCCGATGTGCAGGCCAATGTGTACTACTACCTGGACTGGATACGCAGCAAAATCAGCGGCAACGACAAGTGCTACTACTAGAAGTACTTAGCAAATGGAAATAGCTAATGTTTATCAAAACTTTATGTATTAAACAGAGGAGAATAAAGAAAAACTGAAGCCCTATGTAAAAAAAGAGTTTGAAATAAAGCGTTTCAATCACCGGCTGGCATAGTTGCTGGCGTAGCAGTGGCAGGTGCTGCAGCGCCCCGAAATCATACTAATGATCCATTCACGGTAGTAGTAGACGTTGGCGTGGCTGTCCGGAACACCGACGGCGCAGGGGTAGCCCCAGTTGACCAGGCCGTAGAGGATGCCCTTCCAGGTCAGCGGACCGCCAGAGTCGCCGTGACAAGCACCCTGTCCGCCGTTCGTCAGGGTGCAGACGTGGCAGGGTCCGTTCAGCGGATCACGGTTGTTTATCTCTTGGCAAGTGGGGTAGTCCACGTGGGTGAGGTACGCCTTCTGCAGGACATCGGGGGTGTCGCCCCAGAGGACCGTGGAGCCCCAGCCCGTGAGGAGCAGCTCCGTGCCATTGGCCAGCGGAGCAGTGGGCAGTTCGGCCGGTTGGGTGTACTCATTGAACTTGATCGTATCGTTCAGTCGGATCAGGGCAATGTCGTTGTGGTACGAGGGACTGTTGTAGTTGCAGTGAATCCAGTGCTCCTCCACGAAGTACATGGCATCCGGCTGGGCCCAGCGCACAGTGCCCGTGACCACGCGCAGGTACGAGGGATTGTACCCGTAGACGCAGTGGGCCGCCGTCAGGATGTGGCGCTCGTCAATGATGCATCCGCCGCATATGTGACCGCCGTACATGCCCTGCAGCGATATCTGGTACTTGGCCTCGCCCAACTCCGCATCCTGGCCGTCGATCACGCGGTTCTGCAAGTTGGCTCCGCCTCGCGACTGCGAAATCCACTCCAGCTGCTGGTCACTGAGCTGCGCCAGGCGAATGGCTGTGCTGGGAGTGTAGCCACTCCAGCCCAGCAGGATCACAAGGATCGTGGTGGCAAATGGACGCAATCGAACCATTATTGCAGCTGCTTGATCGGACAATTAAGCCTGCATATGGGTCGTGATTTTGCTTTTATACTCGGACAATTCAGCGTTATATCGTAAGTCTTGCGGCTTTATCGTAAATCGGAATCGATGTTCCCAGTCATATGTTATCCAGTTATATATAAGCCATAAAGTCTGGTATCGTAAAAAGATATAGACGCACACTGATTATGATTTTGTGACAGGGCAATCATTGTTAGCAATGCCAGCAGAGGAAATTTCAATGCCAATGGTCACTCACTGGACATTGGCACTATGGATCTTATCATAAGCAGGCGCTGCAACTCTTTCGATTTACTTGTTTTTTCTAAAGTAACATTTTTATAAATGGGCACAAATAAATGCCATTATGTCAATAAAAACATTAAAAAATGAGCCTTACTTAGTCACTTGGATATTATAAAAAAGTAGTACTATTAATTTAATAAAATTGTGTGTTCCGATTAAACTCTAAGCAGGGACTGTAAATAAGATTTATTTGAGACTTTTACATTTAAAAGTCTATTGGCATTTAAATCTTTATGTTTACCAATTTGACCAAGTTCTAAAAAAATGTTTAATTTAGATTTAGACCAAAAAAATTTTATAAGTAATCGCAGCAATTACAAAAATTAAATAGCAAAGTTATAACATTTTTTTTTTGATTGTTAGTTTGTCGAAGATATATGTTATAGTAAATAAAGTTTCACCCAGATAGCTTTAAAACTGTGCATTAGAAGCGGACGGACAGACGGACATAGGTATTTCGACTCTTTGAAACTATAATGCCCTTTGCATGGGTATACAAATAGTTTATTGACAAGAGACATAGTAATAAAAAGTAAGACTTTTTAGAGTTTTAGTCATTGAGATGCAAATACTAAATTAAGTAAAAGTATTTGTTTATGTGTCTTAAGCATTTCCGGTCTAAATTTGGACAGCCAGCAAGCAAATCATTATCTAGCGTCATAATGTGTTGGTAAACAGATCCATAAAAGCATTGATTGCCCATCTTAAAGCAGCTAATGACCAAATGAGTAAGGGAATATGCTATCAGTGTTGTTTTGATCAATAAATATATTTTACACATTCATGCCAGTACACATCATGGCAATACGCCCTTAAACTCCTTTGACCTCAACTAGTTAACACGATTCTTGCATCCAGTGGGAGTCCTCCGGATCCAGTCCTGGTAGTAAACAGTGTTGGCGTACCTTGAGGAGAAATCAAGAAGATTACCTAAGGTCGGAGATGGGGTTTCCAAGGCTTAGTCTTACATATCTGGCATGCCAACGCCGCAGGCTCGTCCCCAGTTGACCAGGCCCACCAGTTTGCCCTCCCACATGAGCGGACCTCCAGAGTCGCCGGAGCAGGCACCCTCGCCATCCCGCGTGAATGTGCAGATGTGACCGATGTCGATGCCATTGTGGTAGTCCCATCTCTGGCGGCAATCCTCGTGACCGATTACGGTCAAGTTGATGGTCTGCAAGTGCTGCACCGTGGGAAAACTGCTCTCCGGAGCACCCCAACCCGTCAGGGTGACCACTGATCCCGCCGGTGGCTGTTCCCTGCTCAGCTCAACGATCTGGGTGCGATCATTGAAGACAATCGACTCGTTGACATGAATGAGGGCTATGTCGTTGTTGTAAACATAGGGAACGTCGTACAAACAGTGCACCAGAGCCTCATCCGGAAATAGAGTCTGACCCGGTTGCAGGCGATCGTTGGTGCCCACTATAATCCGCAGATCCTCGATGCTAAAGTCCAGCGCACAATGGCCGGCCGTCAGGATCCACTCTTCGTCGAGGATGACGCCGCTGCAGATGTGCGTTTTCCAGGTGGTCTGAATGGACACCTGATAAGGGGCCACCCCGTCATCCGCCTGCTGGCCACCCACAATTCGGTTGTCGGACCTCGGTTTACGACCTCGATCCAAACGCTTGCCGCGCGTGACGTCAATGGAAATGCCCAACAGCAAGAGAAGCAGCCAAATCAGAGACAAATGGACAGCCATCACAAAGACTCCGGAGACGATGAATTAATGACCAGCAATGGAAAATTGTATGACCCAACTGGGCGTTTTTATATGGATTCCCAAATAAACCCATTTTATCGCACCCCATTCGGGTTTTTTTGCCCGTCGTTTTTGGTGCTGACCACTGACCACTGGTCAGTAATCTTTATAGCACCCAGAGGTATCTTTACGGCTTTAAGGATAAAATCCAATCGGTAACGGCGGGACGTTCAATTGAAGGCGAGCCCGTAAACCGACTTGGACTTGTGTGAGTTGGCAAATCTCGGCACTCTATAAATGCACCGGGCCAACTTGCTGGCCAGCTCACAATGCCCACGGCCGCAAGGCATTATGAATGCCACTTATCGCCTCCGTCCAGATCCATAAATTTCTTATTATCCAAATAACTTGGCGATAAGATGCGCCTTATGAGGCGTAATTTTAAGGTGGTCCGCTCGAGGGGTTTTAGTTTCGATTGTACTGTGAATATACCATATACGATGAGTGGATATAGTTGGCTTCTCTGCCTGATTGGCATCATCCTCCATCTCCAGGAGTCCACCGTGGCCATGCGGATGCGAGGGGAACCGCTTGCGGGTGTGGCCAATGTAAATAGGCACCGGAATAGCGAGGAGGTGGCTGCTGGAGCGCAAGGTCGCGTGGCCGGAGGTTCCACTGCCGCCGAGGGCAGTTGGCCCTGGATTGTGACCATCCAGAATGTCTACTCGTATCACCTGTGCGGAGGCATCATCGTCGACAAGCGATTCATACTCACGGCTGCCAATTGCGTGGCGGGATTGAGACCCCGCAATCTGCTCGTGGTCACCGGCACCTCGGACTGGTGGGACCTGTACGCCCCTTACTACAGTGTGGACCAGATACACGTGCACTGCAACTTCGACCAGCCGCTGTACCACAACGACATAGCCCTGCTGCACCTGTCCGAAGACATCGAGTACAACGAGTTCACGAAGAACATAACCCTGGCGGACATCGATGAGTTGCAGGAGGGCGATAAGCTGACCTTCGCGGGCTGGGGCAGTTCGGAGGCCATGGGCACCTACGGTCGGTACCTGCAGGAGGCCTCGGGCACCTATCTGCCGGTGGACAAGTGCCGCCAGACTCTGCAGAACGACGATGACGTGGATCTGGGCCATGTGTGCGTCCAAATGGACGAGGGCAAGGGCGCCTGTCACGGCGACTCCGGCGGACCACTCATCGACGAACAGCAGCGCCTGGTGGGCATCGGCAATTGGGGCGTGCCCTGCGGACGTGGCTATCCGGTGAGTACCTGTTCAACCATATCGAATAGTACTTGTATTTATAACCCCCTATTTCCATTAGGATGTGTATGCGCGGGCCGCCTTCTACCACGATTGGATCCGCACCACCATGAACGGGTGTACGATCGCCTAGACATTGGCCAGCTCTTATCTGTGCACTGCGGAAATTTCGATTTTCGATTGGAAATACATTTTTTAATAAGATTGTATATGATTTATTGGCAATTGATTTTCTGAATAAGTATTAAATATTGAACTATGACGATTTGAATGATTGAATCACAATATGGGAAGGGTTTCATATACTAACTTGAAATGAAAGATCAAGTAAAATTGACCATTGCGATTATATAGATTTAGTAGTGTGTGGCTTTAACTATGAGTATGAATACTTTTCTCATCAATGCTAAAAAGTACTTTGATCCCAGTGTTCCAAAAGTTGTACAACTTTTTCGATTTGAAAACCTGTTTTCGTTTTCATTTGATATTTGAAAAGAAAAAAAAAAAATATCGCCTGATTACTCTACAGAATCAATTAATATTGCCATTCAATTTTGTCCTCAGTGTAGACATGATTTGTATTGCTGATTCAATAAAAGTTATGGGATTTTTCGAGGAGAGTTCTTGGTTTTCGGTCGGGCTGACCATGATTGAGATTGCACAACCTTTGTGGCAGCTCATTAATATCACGCCAGCTATCTAATATCGTATACCGAATATCGTTTATCGGAGGTTAGTTGCTTTTCAGCTGCACTCCCTTGTAATTAGTCCAACTTCAGCTGCTCGTCCAAGATGTCTTGCAAAATCAGGGCGGTTTCTCTGCTCGTTCTCGTCCTGCTGACGATATCCTTTTCGGAGGCTAGTCTTCGTCATCGCGAAATAACCTCTGATATTTCCACTTCCGCGAATAAGTTCAGCGCCCGAATCGTTGGAGGAGAAGTGTCCGATGTCCTAGCTGCTCCCTATCAAGTCTCGATTCAAAATGCTTATGGGTATTAAACTTAGTTATTAAACCACTACGATAGTGAAGTCACTTTCAGGATATTTTTATACAATAGTTTTGTGATTGAGTCTAAAAAAGAACTCTTGCGTGCACAGAAAAACGTAAATTTTAATTGAAAGTTAAACTAAAAGGTTAAAGAATTCGTTGAAATGTTGAATAATTGAATAACTTCTTAGATTAGAAATACAAATATAGCTTTTTTTCCAGTTCCATTATATTTTTACTATTTTATTTATTTATTTAATATTTCCATAATTCTTATTATACCCTTGCAGAGGGTATTATAATTTCAGTCAGAAGTTTGCAACGCAGTAAAGGAGACATCTCCGACCCTATAAAGTATATATATTCTTGATCAGCATCACTAGGCGAGTCGATCTAGCCATGTCCGTCTGTCCGTCCGTCTGTCCGTCTGTCCGTCTGTCCGTCTGTCCGTCCGTTTATATGCAAACTAGTCTCTCAGTTTTAAAGCTATCTGCATGAAACTTTCCCAAAAGTTGTCTTTCTATTGCAGGTAGTATATAAGTCGGAACGAGCCGGATCGGACGACTATAGCATATAGCTCCCATAGGAACAATCGGAAAAATAAAGGAAAAAAAATTATAACTTTGCTGTTTTTTATTTTTTTGTTTAGTTCTTCGACATTTAGTAATGGTTAAATATTTCCGATTTACGGTTTAAATTTCATCCAAATCGGACGACTATAGCATATAGCTCCCATAGGAACAATCGGAAAAATAAATGAAAAAAAATTATAACTTTTCTGTTTTTTAATGTTTTGTTTAGTTCTTCGACATTTAGTAATGGTTAAATATTTTCGATTTACGGTTTAAATTTCATCAAAGTCGGACGACTATATCATATAGCTCCCATAGGAACAATCGGAGAAATAAATGAAAAAAATTATAACTTTTCTGTTTTTTAATTTTTTGTTTAGTTCTTCGACATATGGCAATGTTTAATTATTTCTGAATTATGGTTTAAATTTTATCAAAATCGGACGTCTATATCATATAGCTCCCATAGAACTAATAAAAATATATAAAATAACTATCTAATAATTGAGCTGCAAATCATCATAGCTTCACTGTTTTTCAGTATATACTGAAGTAAATCATAATTTAAATGTTTTCAAAAGTATTTAATTCATGCAATAGCTGCAAGGGTATATGAACTTCGGCTTGCCGAAGTTTGCTTTCTTTCTTGTTTCTTATAATTATAATAGAAAAGTTTTCAATAGCATTTGATTTATTACTTAAAATCTTTTTCTTTATTTTAAAGCCTCATAATCACAATATTTTTTTTTCGCATACCATAATTTAACCGTTTCTAGTACCATTTGATTTATAACTTTAAAATCTTTGTATTTTTTTTAAAGTCTCATGATCACCATAATTCCTATATCCTCTGATCATAATTCAACCGTTTCTAGTAACCACGTTTGTGGCGGCGTCATCATCCACGACCAGTGGGTGGCCACTGCGGCCAGTTGCGTGGCTGGACTGCGAAAGAACAACGTGAGGGTGGTGACCACCACCTACAACGACTGGGGAGGAGCGGGGTGGTGGTATGCCGTGGAGGAGATCGTGATGCACTGCAACTTCGACGAGCCGATGTACCACAACGACATCGCCTTGCTCAAGACAGAAACGCTGTTCGCCTACGACGAGGTGACGCAGAACATCACCATTGCTCCGCTGGAGGATTTGACGGAGGGTGAGACCCTGACCATGTACGGATGGGGCAGCACGGAGATCGGCAGCGACTTCGCCTGGGAGCTGCGCCAACTGGACCTGACCTACGTGACGCCGGCGAAGTGCAATGCCACGTACGGTGGCACTGGAGACCTGGACTGGGGTCATCTCTGTGCCGTGGGAAAGGTGGGTGCCGGTGCCTGTCATGGCGATGCCGGAGGACCCCTCGTCGACAGGCGGGGTCGCCTGGTGGGCGTGGGCAACTGGGGCGTGCCCTGCGCCTACGGATTCCCCGACGTCTTCGCGCGCATTAGCTACTACTACAGCTGGATTATATCCACGATTAACGGTTGCGCTATTAAGTAATAAAGCTGTTTGAAAATTGTGGTCCGACTTTCTAAATCAGTCATGGTGACAAACTCATTCACAGGAACGTTTTCTTAAATTTTCGTTGGATAGCAAAACCCTTAAAATTGTGGTGCTTCTTAAAGTAACAGTTAAATTAGCTAAAAATGTATCCCCTAAATTATGTCAATGTCCAAAGTCCACTATATAAACATTAAATTGGAAATTGATTAATTTAAAATCTTGATAATCCCTAGACCAGACGTCTATACGTTTTTGTAATTCTGAGTGATAAGTGAGTTGTTCAAATTTCATTGAAGCCATAAAAGTACTTGGTTTTTCAGAAATAATATAATACTCTAAAGAAAGCGTTGAGTATTTACCCACTTATACAACAATACCAAATTAAATGGGCTGTTTATTTTAACACAGTTTGATATACTTTCAAATACAAATAGTTGTGGTTCTAAAGTGTTTTTATCTGAATTATATTTTAATACGCCGATTAATTCTGTTTGCGGTTGCCTTATCTATAAAGTTAAATGTTTCCACAGAACTTGTTTACCCTAAGGGTATGCCAACTTCTGTATCTCTGAGGGGCCTTCAATCATTTCGCAATTATTGCAGCTGAAATTTGAGTAAACTTCCATTCGATTACGGCCCTATCAAGGAAACTCGTCTGAAGATCTCCCTAGTACGAGCTACGTCCGAAGTCCGCCACCGCTGCGTATGAGTAATCTTACTATGGTCGTGTGCTAGTTGTCTATCACTCACAGTCCAACTGACTGTCGAATTCCCCCTATCAGGAGCTTTATATTGGCTATGGTAATGTCATTGCCGAAGCTACTCCCGAACTGAGCCCCTTTATCGCAAAACTTATTTAAAAAGAAACTCTCGGCATGATAAGCACATTTCGCACAGACCACGGGACTATAAAAGCGATACGAGTGCCGAAAAGTGGGCAAACCGTTTACGGAAGTTGAAGACAACGTAACACTTAAAAAAAAATACTATTGCATTTAATTTGAAAAAAAAAAGGAAACCCTTACCAACATGAAGTGGCTGGTACTGATTAGTGTTTTGGTGATCCTGTCGCAGTGCTCGGCGAAGAATATAAAAATCCACCGTCGTCCTCAGTTGAACCATCACTTGGGCCATGTGAAGCCCGAGACCCGGGTGGTAGGAGGCATCGATTCCCCCACTGGATTTGCCCCCTACCAGGTGTCCATCATGAACACTTTTGGCGAGCATGTCTGCGGTGGCAGTATCATTGCGCCCGAATGGATCCTCACCGCCGCCCACTGCATGGAGTGGCCCACCCAGTACCTGAAGGTGGTCACCGGCACCTCGGACTACACGAAGCCCGGAGCGGAGTATCTGGTGGATGGTGCCAAGATCCACTGCGGTCACGACAAGCCGGCCTATCACAACGACATTGCCCTGATCCACACGGCCAAGCCGATAGTCTATGATTCACTGACCCAACCCATCCGACTGGCCACCAAGGGCAGTCTGCCCAAGAAGGGTGACAAGCTGACCCTGACTGGCTGGGGCAGCACCAAGACCTGGGGCAGGTATGCCACCCAGCTGCAGAAGATCGAGCTGAACTACATCGAGCACGACAACTGCGCGACGCGAGTGCGCAATGCCAACTGGCTGAGCGAAGGACACATCTGCACGTACACCCAGGAGGGCGAGGGATCCTGCCACGGCGACTCCGGTGGTCCTCTGGTGGATGCTAACCAGACTCTCGTCGGCGTGGTCAACTGGGGCGAGGCGTGCGCCATCGGCTATCCGGATGTCTTCGGTTCAGTGGCCTACTACCGCGACTGGATCGAGCAGATGATGACCGCTTCGGGCACCGCCTGCTAAAGGTCTCAAAGTCACCCGAGGGGGGCAAAAGCCACAAAACGAACAAAAATAGCACGTGTGCTGTCAATTTATGGCACTGGCCAAATGATCAAATTAGCCCGTAAATTTTATCACTCAGATATCGTAGCCCCAAAATTATTTATGAACAAATAAATAAGCAATTGCGCTTGACTTTTAACTAAACTTTTTCATATGTCTTGTTTTCTATACTTCAGGAGGTGGTAGAAGTAATTGTAGTCTTCGAGACTCTTTTAAATAAATTCCCCACTTAAGATAATTCCACCCATCAGTCACTCCTACGATCAATCATAACATTTAGTTCGCAAAAATGAGTCAACAAATAAACAAGCGCCAGTTCGGAAGAAGTGGGAATCAAAAGTATTGATAACTATATTACTTTGGGAATTACTAAATATGAAGATAAGAACCACAACTATGATTGGTTATTGCAATAACCATATATTACTGAAGTAGTTTTTATATTACTAAGTACAATATTATAACAGCACTGGAGAAAATAAATTAAATCTTTTGGATTAAATATATGAACTTTTTTTTTCAAAAGATTAACAAAAATACAATATCATCTCTAAAATTTATTCGGTAAGTTTCTGAACTTAAATAAAAGTTTAAATGCTTAAAGTCGTTCTTAATACATAGTGACGGAAAATAGAAAATAAAACTAAAAAAATTATACATAATGTTTTGGTAGCATATCTTTTACTAGCAGAACCCACAAGGGGTCTATTTATGTTAAAACCACTCATAATCAACTAAGTTAATTTTCACATTACGTAAATGTTTATTTGATGGCTACAAAAGTTTCAGTTATCAGCGGCTAACCTTGTGGCTTCACAAGTGCCTACATAGTTTGAAGGGTTCCATACAAAACTCAGCTGGACGTTTCCAACCAGATATGATATCGACTGCGAGCCGTGACTGGATTGCTAATGGTAAGACCTCATTTACCTATAAGAAACTTTCCCAAAAGGCAGAAAAGTTCAGTTGCTTAAAAAGTTGCTTAAGCTGACATTATGTTGTTGATCCTACTAACGCTTATCCTGTGCAGCTCTTTTGCCACCAGTCAGGTTCTGTATCCACCGCAGTATACCCATAGTCGCATTGTGGGCGGTGAGGAGGCTGCCGAGGGCGTGGCACCCTACCAGATTTCCCTGCAAGGACTGGCAAGTGGTGCCCATTCCTGCGGTGGTGCAATCATCGATGAGCGGTGGATTATAACGGCGGCTCACTGTACCAGAGGCAGACAGGCGGGAGATTTTCGAGTCCTCACAGGCACCCAGGATCTGCGGCAGAATAGCTCCAAGTACTATTATCCCGATCGGATAGTCGAGCATAGCAACTATGCGCCTCGCAAATATCGCAATGACATAGCCTTGCTGCATCTGAACGAGTCGATTGTGTTCGACAATGCCACCCAACCGGTGGAACTGGACCATGAGGCATTGGTGCCCGAATCCCGACTCCTTCTAACCGGCTGGGGAACCCTTTCCCTGGGCGGAGATGTGCCCACCCGCCTCCAAAGTCTGGAGGTGAAATATGTCCCCTTCGAGCAGTGTCGAGCGGCCCACGACAATAGCACTCGGGTGGACATTGGCCACGTTTGCACCTTCAACGACAAGGGACGCGGAGCCTGCCACGGCGATTCCGGTGGTCCACTGGTGCACAATGGCAAGCTGGTGGCTCTGGTAAATTGGGGACTGCCTTGTGCCAAAGGTTATCCAGGTGAGAGCGAGAGTTAAAATGGGTTTAACTTAATATTAAAAGTAATTAATGACCCGTTCCAGATGCACATGCTTCCATTGCCTACTATCATGACTTCATACGCACTCACCTGAGTCTCTCTAAAACGGACAGCATCGATGATAATCAGGAGCAGCTGATCACTGTCGGAAATTAATACTTAACATGTGCTTATAAAGTAATTTCCCTATACAACAACGTTTTAAGCTAATTAAAAAACGTCTATATATTATATAAAAAAGTCGATTATGATATATAAAACTTTCTACGTTTCTTATCCGTAATTTATGAATTTTCTAATAAATAAAATAAAATCTTTGTTCAATTACTCATATTGCAGGAAACAACATATGTCTCTGCTTTTTAGATTCACAATTCATAAAATTGTTGAACAAAACACACTGGAAATTTACTGTAACAATGTTCATTTATTAGGAAATTTCGTAATTTTCACTTTTATAAATTGGAGCCGCTTGTTTGGTGCTGCCTCTTTTAAGGACGGCGAGATGAAGTGCCCTGGCACTGGACAAATTCTATTGAACTTGACAAAGAGCTCGTTTAGGCTGCGGAGTCGAAATGCGCTGTCCAAAAAACTGCTAACAGCTAGCTACAGCTCAACCAGCGAAAATGCGAACTCGAAGCAGCCAAATCTACTGCCATATCATGTTTTGCCGCTGGAAGAAACGATGAAACGCTTTATGACCACTGTTGAACCACTTTTAACAGAACAGGAGCTCAAGGAGCAAAAGAAAATCACTGCTAATTTTATGAAAAAGCAAGGACCTGAATTGCAAAAGCTCTTGGAAGAAGTTGGTAGTAAGGAGAAGAACTGGTTGGCCCCGCGATGGCTTAAAGTCGCCTACCTTCAATTTCGATCACCAGTCACCGCCTTTGTGAGTCCAGGCATGACATTCCCCAGACAAAACTTTAAAAGTGCACACGATTTTATCGGCTACACGGCTAGAGTAATCTTCGGTTTGGGTGAGTTCAATGACCTGGTGCATGCCAACAAAATTCCAATTGTTAAAATGGGCAAGAACGAGCTGGACAACAGTCAGTTTGGCAAGGTATTCGGCACAAGTCGGATACCAAAACGGATGACAGACGAAATGGTCTACAATCCATGCTCCGATTATGTGGTCGTTATCTACAAGAATCATTTTTACCAATTGCAAATATATGATAAGGAGGGAAAACTCATTGTGGCTCCATGTCTAGCCGGTCAGTTGGAGGAGATCATGAGGAAGGAGACCAAATTGGGGGTTCCCTATGGTATTTTGACCACCGACTCGAGAGACAACTGGGCCGAGGCCTACGAACACCTGGCGGATAGTCCTCGTAATCGGGGAGCCCTCGAGACTATTCAGGGTGCCCTGTTCACTGTCTCACTGGACAAGTGCACCACTCCAAAAGAAGGTCAGGAAGACGAGGAGCTAATTCTCTCACTGATCCATGGAAAGGGCAGCAGATGCAACAGTGCCAACCGCTGGATGGACAAAACGATTCAGTTGGTGGTCAATCCGAATGGAAACGTTGGGTTTACCTATGAGCACTCCCCAGCCGAGGGCCAACCCATCGCCATGATGATGGACTATGTGGTGAAGAAGATGCAGGAGGATCCTTGCTATGGGGAGTGCGGATCGGAGGATGTTACGCCAGCCAAGAAAATACAGTTCTGTCCACTCAGTAAATGTGTGGAGCAGTGGCTGATTATTGCCCAGGGAAACATCGATAAACTTGTCAGGAATGTGCAAATGAAGGTCCTGCGGTTCGACGGCTATGGCAGGGATTTCATTAAGAAACAAAAACTGGGACCGGATAGCTACATTCAGATGGCCTTGCAGCTGGCCTTCTTTAAAATGCACTCAGTGCCAGCTGCGCAATACGAGTCGGCTCACTTACGCATTTTCGATGGCGGACGAACTGAGACTATAAGGTCATGTTCCAATGAATCCCTGGATTTTTGCATCGCCATGCAGGATTTGACAGTCTCAGCAGAGGAGAGGGTCGAAAAATTGCGGGAGGCTGTAATTTGCCATCAGATGTACGCGAAGCTGGCTCTTCAAGGTCGAGGAGTCGATCGTCACCTGCTCGGACTGAAGTTGATGGCTCTGGAGAACTGCCTGCCCATCCCAGAGTTCTTCGAATCACCAGGCTATGTCAAGTCCAGTCACTTTCGCCTGTCAACCTCACAGGTAGCCTCCAAAAATGATGCTTTCATGGGCTATGGACCGGCCACGGACGATGGATATGCCTGTTGCTACAATCCACGTGAATGTGACATCATTTTGGCCATATCTGCTTGGCGCCATTGTCAGGTCACAGATCCCTGGAAGTTTGCCAAGATGCTCGAAAAGTCCTTTATGGAAATGAAGCTTGTTCTTGAGTGCTCAGAGCCGCCAGAGAAACCACCTGAGCCAAAATGCAAAGTCTGAATATTTTTTATTTAAATTAATAAATTTTGGCAGAGATTATTATTGGAACGTCACTGATATTCATTTCATCACACATTAATTTAATCATAAAATTTATCTTAATTTAAGTAGAGTGGTAAAATTCACGAAGTAAATCCAAATATGTTGTAGTCAATTCAAACTTAGTCAATTCAAAACAGATGGCACTGTTTAAAATGTAATATTTCCACATTAATTAAAATATGTTAATATTAAATAATCAAATTTAATATGCATTGTATTTAACATAGTACAATATAATGATTTAATATTAACTTATTAAGGTAAAACCAAATGGTAACTACAGAGGAAAGTTACATTATCTACCTGATCTTTAAGATAAACAAAATTAAATTAAATTAAATAAAACTATATGAATTCTATAACCGTTTTTATATTTTGTTTCCAATCATGCAATCTGTAGATCTTATGTAGTCAGAGTCGGAGTGGAATGCCCTTCCTCAGTTGAACACCTTCAGTACACCAAACAACCCTTTTCCAAAAAACATTAAACCTCTTTTTTTAATGAATTTATTTTAATACGGAGTTAGGTAACAATTGGAATTCACTTAAAAGTTAAAACTATGGACATTGATGACAGCTAACTAGATCTGATGTGGCGAGCAATGAAGAATACTTAGAACTGGTTCGCGGGCAGATAGTGATTGCCGATGATGGGTCCTCCGTTGCCATTTCCAGCACCGTTCTCCACGAAGTGCCCCTCGGATGGCTGCTGCAGCGGCTGCTCCACCTCCTCCTCCTCCTCGGGGGGGTCCAGGGAGCCAACCACCGACGTGATGGGGGCCACACCCTCGTCCGTGATGGTCGAACTGCCCCCCAGGGTGTCGTACTGCGATTGGATCTGCCGCTGGGCATTCAGGGCCTCCTCGGGAGTGCGGTACTTGATGAAGAACACCTCCGGCTTGTTGATGTGCTGCGGCGTCTCGGCAATGGCATCCTGCAGATCGGAGGCGGTCGTCTTCTTGGCCAGCACATAGACCACGGTCTTCTCCTGCTTGAGCGTCTTGGCCAGATTGAGAGCGGCCGCCCGGTTCGTCTGGGCCGGGGTCTTGACGAACAGCACGTTGTAGTGATTGCGCGGCTGCTGGGCCAGCTGGTTCAGCTCGTCCTGCACCTCGTCCTCGGACTCCTCCGGCGCCGAGTGGATGAAGAAGTTCTTGGTGACGATGGGCCGCTTGGGTATCCTCACTCGCGGACGAGCCCTCCGCTGCTGCTGGATGGGAGCGGTCTGGAAGTTGACGGGGAAGTTGGTGGGCATGGGGAACGATCCGGTGGTTGGACGGGGGGGCAGGATGGGACTGGGACTGGAACTGGCCACCAGGTGGCAGATAGGGCAGTGGCAGGGGCGGCAGCACCGGGTGTGAGGACTGCTGCGGCTGGAGCTGCTGCTGCTGCTGAAGCTGCTGGTTCAGCAGGTGGGCCACTACCGGCGGCTGCTGCTGCTGCTGATGCTGCTGCTGCTGCTGGATGCGGTAGTTGTAACCCGGCTGGGTCAAACTGATGTCAGCCTGGCCGAGGCCCAGGCACATGGCCCCCACGAGTACCGTCTGCGAGAAGAAAAAGTAATCATTATAATCCTCGGTTATCCATTTCGGGGGCAATCCGTATCCAAAACCCAGTCGAACGCACCACAAATATCTTCATGCTGTCGCTTGGATGGGTGTCTCTCTGCTGGTTAGCTGTCTTCAACCGGATGCTACCTCGCTGTCCGAGTGTCTTGGTGCTGTGATGATGGGTCAACCGGGCACCGGGCCTTTTATACCGATCCGCGATCACAACTTGTTTATAATCGGAAACAAATCGTGAAACAGCAGCCAAAACAGTTGCAACAGTCGGTGGGTCATAAAACATTTGTTATGCTTGGCGAAGAGGTTGGTTTGGACCCATCATCTGGTTGGGTGGCAAGTGGACTTTTGTGTTAACTTTACAAGGGGTTCCACAAAAGTCGAGCGAGAGGAAATCCCAACAATGGGTGATACACATACGGGAATAAACCTGCCATCGTTGTTAACAAGTTAGTAGATCTGTAATCACTTTGACACATAGAAACTACATATATATTTGATTTACATTTTAGACAGGGGAAGTGTATTTTAAAATAGTGCATATGATAGTGTTAAACAATCGTTTGAAGAACATGACAATAATATGTAAGGAATCATATGTTCAATGCACAGACTGATATTAATATATTTCATTTTGGATTTTAATAGTAATCTATGTTAGCAAAAGGGATATGTTTTAAATACTTTTCGGAATTTTATCATGGAACAAATAACTTTATTTCTATGAAATTAATAGCAGAAAATGGGCTTAGTTGCACTATATTTAATACAAAATATCTCACCAAAACCTGTTGAATCCAAATTACAAACAAACTATCAAAACAAAAACATTCCGATTTTTTCTTCAGGCATTGCAAATATTAATATTATTAAGATGTTCAAGCAACGTTGCTTTGGCTGCCAAGTAAACAATCAAAGCCTCGTTTTAATTAATACAAAAGTGTTGTTTTTCTTGGCAGTTTTTGCAGATCAGTTGAGCGGCACAGACCAATATGTAAATATCGATGACGAATATAGGCGACGAGGTTACAAGCCCAACTTAAAATGCACTTTTGTCTTAGGTCCCATTGTCTTCAATTTGTTTTATTGTCCTACGCTTGAGCTATCAAATGGAAATTTAAAATTGTATATACGGGGACTAGTGTATTTCGCATCTGTCTTGGGCTCTGGCCCAAGGTCTAGGTCTATGTGTCCATTCGATGGGGCGTAGATACTGGGCGATATATTGTCAGCTCTAAATGTGCCAAATTGAGACAAAATGCTCGTATTTTTGGTCTTGGAATTGGTATCGGTTTTCGAGCCGAAGAAGTGAAGGTAAATCACCCGATAAAATCGAAAGTATACCTTGTCAATTGGCTGTGCCCAACTTCCAGAGGAAATTAGTTGTCATAACAAACACGAAACCGATGCATACGGAATGAGTTTAGATATAGGCCTTATAGGGCTAATTGGCAGGCCTTATAATATGCGGTGAATGTATACTGCAATATCGAAATAGAGATAGTAAGATTCCCTGTTTCCTTTCCAAATTTTATACTTATCCACTCACCCACCTGAGGCATATGTATCGCGACATCGTGTGCATTCAACAAAGTGCATCTCATTAGCTGGAGGGAATTCTGCCCACAAATCATACAAAACCTGCCAAGGGCGAACTGGCCAACGTGTGATAAGTTAGCCCACATTTCTAACGGCTGTTATCTGTTCGAAACCAAAAAACAGGTTTCCCACTTTCTCACGCCAATTTCGTGAGCCATGAAAAACCAGCGAAATGAATCCGAAATTTTGTTTATGTGGGGCATTAAAGATGCAACGATCTGTCAGAGAAATATGCGATAAATTGTCGTTTGTAATGGGAAACCAAAATTACCTTGTCATTAATTAATAGACCCAAATGCATTAGGACGAAAGTAGCAAAAAAAAAAAAAAAATAACAAATTCAAATGGAAATGGAATCTGACCTGTGATTAATGCGTGCCTACTATTGCCGCACTTTGCATATTTTATGCAAAGCGAATAAGTTGCTAAAATCCATTGAATGCAAAACACTCGTTGCACAGATTAGCCAAAGCACAAAAGTGAATGTTGACGGGACACAAATTATGATTTGCGTAACAAAACTATTTTATTTTAATTTATTAATTCACACCATGGGAGAAGAGGTTTTGACACTGGCGGCCTTTGTCCATTTCTATACATAGCATTAGCAACCGAATCCGAACCCCAACCTTTGTCCGTCTGCGAATCCGCATCCCAAATCCATCACATCCAATTGACTGGGCGATAAGTGACGCTGCGAGGCCTACCAGCCGAGCATAATAAATGCGTTTTTAATTATTGGCCTAAAAATAAGTCAAAATTAATTATGGGACAACCCGAGTTCACAACTATTTTGGGATGCCCACCAAACCAAAGACAAAACCAAGACTTTTATAATAAGCATGTGGAACGAATAAGCTTTTGTCATTTCTGCGCTTAAGCTGACAGTTTTACATGGGCTATGCTATAAATATTGACAAATTATATCCGAAACCACTTAAGTGGTTGTCTTTTTGAAGAAATCACTTAAACGCATTACAAGTTGCTTCAGAGGAGCCAATATGTTAAAAATTGATTTTATAATTTTGCATTTTCATTTACCAGAGATAATTTTTCAAAAGCCCTCCTTAACTTAACATTTAATTACACAAACGTGTCTCACATTTAGAATGTAACCAAAATACTTAAAAAAATAAAATCAAAAAGTAAGGGCGAAGGACATTTAAAATAAATAAAACAGGAGAACAATATAAGCTAGAAAATTTCTTTAGGTGTTGTGGATTTTATCAGAACCATTTCAAATGATCAAAATGGTCTTTGTAAAGCTAAGATATAAGACTAAGGCAAGCACCCAATAAAACACTCTCCTCAAGCATTTTATTGACAGTAAACGTAAACTGAAAACTATTCAATTTATTGATTAGATTTGCGTTTTACTCAGAGTTCAGTAGATAATTATTCGATCTGTCTTATGCAACACGTGTGCTAAACGAACTCAATCCATCGGTCTCACAGAAATGGTTGTTAAAATACTTAGTGCGGGCCAAGACAATAGTTTGGCCCGCACACATACACGAAGTACATAGGTCTAAAATGCGTGGTAACAATAAGAACTTGGTGACAAATTCTGTCGAACATTTTTAGGGACTTTGACCGTCTCAAATATTGTAATTCACATTTAAATTATCATCGGTCTCACAGAAATTGTTGTTAAAATACTTGGTGCGGGCGAAGACAATGCACAAAGTACATAGGTCTAAAAAGAGTGGTAATCATAAGAAGTTATCGAGTTCGATTTAAGTGGTTCAACAAGTGTTCAATTAGTTATTCTAGTTGTATGTATATATTATATATATATAGTATATATTTAGTATATGTTTCAGGCGTAATTGTATTTATGTAGATAATGTGTAAACTTTATTGGCGTTACAGTGAGTTTCTCTCTTTAGGATCTAATAATCAAACAGCAGAGCAGAATTTGTTAAGTACTAAAATCCGCCATCCGCTTTGTAAGTTCTCTAAAATATTAATGTTTCCGATACACTCTCAATATATATATAGTTTTTAATATCACGTTCATCGTTTACACTTTTTGCTTGTTCTGTTACAATGTTGTTCTGATTCTGCTGAAGAAACACTTCTGATCTCGATTGTGGTTTTAGACTACGTTAAGCCGATAACAATAGATATAGATATCTGTAAATATGTATTTTATATATATAGCGAGACAAAGCTACCGACATTGGTGAATTTTTGGAAATTTCCGAAAGCGGGAAATGAACTTAGGCTGAAACGCCTATAATTTAGACATAAGACATAGACATTAAAAACACGCTTCCCGGCTCCGACCTCCTCACGGCTCGTGACTCCGGACGAACTTCTCCAGCTGCCTGTGCAGCTGATTGTGGTAGGGTATCCGATGTTTGCTGATCACCGTCGCCGCCAAACACTGCAGAGACACAAAATTGAGCAGCGGAATGGTGCTGGTGGGATTTGAGGCTATTAAGTCGTAGGGCCGCTTATCGGCGCGATTCGGCTGATCGATGTCCGCTCCGCACTTGAGCAACAGGTGAACAATCTGGGGGGAGAGATTTACCTTTAATTGCTTGTACTATATTTTTTTAAATACCAGAAAAGACAGTTTTGTTCCAAATAACCAACGTGTAGATCAAAGACATAAGGTTTTAACTCATTACAGTTAAGGCTTATGGCAGAATTTGCTTACTTTTCGTTGTGGTTTTTAAGGGAATTTATAGTGGAAAAATAATACTTTTGGGAACGAGTGTTTCTGAAGGCTTAAAAATGTCCCCAAGGGTATACATTTGTATTGCTGCATTGGTTTTTGGATTCAAGCACCATGACTATCGGCTCAGTTACCTCATTGTCATAGTTGTACGGCTGGCAGGCCACATGCAGGGGCGTGGATTTGGCTTCGTTCTTGATGTTCACATCGACGCCGCATTGGATGAGCAGCTTGATGACATCCGCGTTGGGGAACACAGTCTTCTGAGGGTGTTAAAGAGGACGTTTAGAAAACAGATCTAATGGAAACAAATGCTACGCACATCGGCAAAGTTGTCGTCGGTAATGTAGCCGCTCTTGATGACGTTCAACCGCGAGGCGCAGAGATGGAGCATTGTGTCGGCGGTGCTTGCGCTGCGCAGGTTGCCCACCACCACTGTCTCGTGGACCGCCTGGCAGATGACCTTGCTCTGCGCCTCTGTGTGGACGGTATTGATCAGCAAGTAGACGAGGTGAGCCAGACACCTCATCACACGATCGTAGTTCTCCTGCTGTCTCCTGAATACAGGCCTCAGGAGCAGCAGGTGCTTCACCACAATGGCGCTATCCGCCAGAGTTCGAAAGACCCCGAGCACATCCTCGAACCTGGGCAGCACCTTATCCTGATGCACAAATCTGGCTCTCGCATCGCTTCGTATGTGACTCGAGTTTTGCACATGCAAGTCCAGCATCAGACGCACCAGCGCCTGGGCCGCGAAGCAAGTCTCAAAGTGCAGGATGGACCAATTGGACACGCGTACCTCGAGCAGGAAGCGCCACAGGTCAATACAACGTTGCAGCTGGAGCGAATCCGCATATGAGGCGCCCCTTAAAATATTGTATATATTACTTTAATACAGATTCAAGCACAATGCAGTTCAACTACTTACCTGAAAGTTAACCGAAAAAGCATATCCTTATGGGTCAGTCCCAGGACGCGCTCGCAAATAAGAAGGCTCTGCGTTCGCATCGCATCCATATCGGTGGCAATATTGTCCAGCTCCTCCAGCGTACTAAACTCCACTGCATTCTCGTAGGCAGTGCGTAGTGGTACCTGCGGCTTCTTCTCAATATAAGGCGAATACGCCGCCCGAATGTGATGCGCCATGCGCCAGTGCAAGATGCACACCCGCGACTCGTTGTGCTCGTCCAGGAACGTCGATCCCATCAGCTCGTGTGCCTCGGCCAGCCTTGCAGGCAAATAGTTGAGCTCCTTCTTCAGGAAGTCGAATATCTGATGGGCTCCTTTTAAGCAGGCAGTGCGAAGGGCATCGTCTCCGTACCGGCTCTTGGCATACGGGTCGGCTCCTTGCTCGATCAACATCTTTGTGGTGTCCAGCCGGTGCTCCTGGATTGCATAATGGAGCGCCGTTTTATCCTGAATGTCTCTGGCATTAATGTCCGCCCCCTTCCGCACCAGATACAAGCACAATTGCACCGATTGCACCGAGTTGATGAGACAAGTTCCGCCGTTGATGTTCGGGCGCTTGATGTCCGCTCCATTCTCCACCAGGAACTTGACTGTAAGGTAAAGTGAGAAGTTTTAATATGAATTATATAATTACAAGTTGTATGAATACTTTTCAAAATATAGGTTTTTTTTACTCTGCACAATTTTAACTAACAAACCATTTGAAGAAAATATTTGAAAAAATTTAGAAGATAGCTTCAAGCTACTTTGACAAGATTTACCAAAACTCTTGAAATCTAAGCTCCGTTCCAGCATAACCCAGCAGCTTTCACTGACCTAATTGGTTAAAAATCATAAACAAATCGCTTCTATTGGGCCAATTCACATTTGCCAAAAAGTAATATAATTTGCATTTACGTTTAACTTATCTAAAAGTCAGATTTGGAAATTAAAAAAACTGTGTTGAATGTTTTTAATATCTGAGCTTTGCTTTTTTTTACTGGAAACATTTATTGGTATTTTTAAGTATTGGAAATGAAATGTGGTTGTTTTAAGAGGGCATAAGTTTTAGTTGTGAGATCTGTACACCCGCTCAGTAAAATTCTTTTATGGTTTACAGAAATCATTAGTGCTAGTATAATTAAGGTGGGTGTGTGCGTCAAATCATAGTTGCAACTAAATTAACAAATGGCGCTTGGGTTAATATTGTGGAAATGAAAAGTGAAAATAAATTAAGCACCCCACTTGTGTGACTTAAAAACAAAAATAACAGGTCTAGCACTCAAGGAATCCTCAATGCCAATAAATAATAAATAGCTCTCAACGAAATGTACAGAAAGCAATAGTTCAAAGTCAATTGTATATCATGAGCTCTCACCGATATCAACGTGGGTCATGTAGCAGGCACTCCTCACGGGAGTTGATCCCGAATCGGAGGTGGCATTGATGTCGCATCCGATCCGCACCAGGTACTTGACCATGGCCAGTTTCCCGGAGACAACGGCCGCCCAAAGGGGCGACACATAGTGGAAGCTATTATCCTCCGGCACCTCGAAGTGACCGCGTTGCTCAATGTCCGCCTCGCAGATGGTGATCAGATACTCGGCGATAACCACGGCGCCCCGTTTGCTGGCGATGAAGAGGGGTGCGCAGCCATTTCGCTGTTTTCGCACTAACTCGCGACGGGCATCGCGTTGCAACCTAAAAACATAAATTAATATATTGTTATTAGTACAGTTCCGGTTTTTAAATCAAGAATTGTTTTTTTGTGTAAGGTTAAGGGTAGAGAATCGGAAATAGCTAATGATCAGCACGTGCAGGGGCAATGATTTGACGAATACACTTCTTGATAAGATTTAGCGTTCAACGACGTCCAATCATTGAGTGCCTTTGGCTGAGAAATCACACCTACGACTGACTAGAAAGTTATGGTTGACTAAATTATGTTCAAATATTCCAGTTTCAAATTTAATCATTTTTTAGAATACTGTAAATTTGTAAATTAAATTTTACTTTGTTTCTGAGGAATTTTAAATAGAGGTTATAATTAAATAATTGAAATTAATGAGCGTTATATCGTCCTTACAAGCTATCAATATAATTGTAATTTTATTGCTGAATGTGCCCATTAAAAAATTAATATAACTGTGATTAGTGAAACTAGAATTATTAAGTTCGAATATAAAAGTCAAGGTAAACCCAGCTATTTCATTTAAGTTCAATTGATGACGTATGTAATTTGCGTGCAGCAGGTGGCGTCCCTGCAAATTGTATACATTATTAATCGGAATAGTCAGGCGATACGATTAAGACATACTCCATTTGTTTGTCCGTTTATATGGCTCTTTATAAGCTATTAAAACAACACTGCACAAAAACTTTTAATGTTCTGACTGCTTAATAGTTTCTTGTTAATATTGAGTAAGCAACATTTTTTGTGGAAATCAAATAAAAAAAAGAAATATATGCAAAGCATAATTGATAATTCCTAATGGTTAATGTATTTTTGTCTTTCTGTTTGGGATGCTTATGCCTTGGAACTTTCAATTGGTGGGGGGGTTTCTTATACAGTAATTACATTATTTCTTAGTATAATCAGGCGATATGTACGTTTCAAAGGCAATCAAAAAGCTTTTAAAATAACACTGCATAAGTACAAAAGTAAGTAGAAAAGCATGGAAATCGGATTACTATATCCTTAAGTTGCCTTGTTTAAGATAATGAATAAGCAAATCATTTTGTTTTTAAGTTTATAAGACATACAAACAAAATAGGAAATTAGGTTAATTCATAGTAGAGACTAACATTTCGAAAGGCCCTACTCAGATGGCTTATTCTCTACAGAATTGGATAATCGTAGGCTCTATTTGAAGTACATACTTTTCAAGTTCGTGGCGCAGGTGGCGCGAAAGCAGCGAGTCCTCCTGGCTGCGTTTGCACTCCTCGATCAGCTCGTGACTAAGCTTGGTTAGCTCCACTTTGGGACTGCTCTGCTTCCGTTCGTTGGCCATCGATGGCCGTGGGTCAGCCTGCTGCAGCGCCTGCTCCTGTCGGGGATTTTGACCCTGATCCTTGGCTTCCAGCTCCAGCTGCTCGACCTGACGACGGCTGCCTTCAAGTGAGCGCATTGCCAGCGCACCGTCTCATTGGGTGGGCCGTAACCTGGGTGCTGTGGGTGTGGGCCTCCTCCTGCCGAATGTCCTTGGGCCACTGCCCCTTGCGAAAACGGTGCGGCAGTGACCTACTAAACCCACCAGCCTGGGCTACTTAATTGGGTTATCTAGCGCTGCTCCCGATTTCGACCAAGGCCGTCCGAGTACTTTCTTTTTTTCTCTCTGTATCTCTGCTTGGTTGGTTGCTTTTCCTTTTTTCCGAATCAATTTCTGTGTCTGTGCAGCGTGCAACTTGGGTGCATTATCTATAGGCTCCTTGGGCGATTTTCGCAACTTGCAATTGGAAAAACTGAACAACAACAACGAGGGCGGGGTGTGTGTGTTGGTGTAGGTGTTCGCCTCACGGTTTACACCATGTTTTTCCGTGTTTTCTGTTTATAAATAAAAAGTGAGCACAACTTCAACGTCAAAACAGTGTGTACAGGGGTGACAATAACTGAAACAGCTGCTCCTTAGAGATGAGGAAACATCGATGACATCGACGTTTTCAAGGCATCGGTATATCTTAATTTGGCAGGGTCTCATCGAAGTTTTCCCATCTCTAACGAGAATTGGAACGAAATTAAAATAACTTTGGCTATCGATTATTTTAAGATTTTAAGAAACAAATTTATTGTACTCATATCAAAGCAATTTATTTTTAGGAATGGATTAAACTCTTTAAAATTTCAAGCAAATTAATTCGATAAATCAAATTGCAAGGGTTATAGCTGTATATTACATATTCCTATAATTTAATAATTATTGTAGAAATGAAATCTAAAATCTGTTATCTGTAAGCAAAAAACAGCTATTCATTAAAAAATATTATACAAAATTTCAGCTAATTTTGAAATATTTTTTCAGTATGCATTAAAAAACACTTTAAATTATACCAACCACCGCATGTTGTGACTTTTTTATGCTGTTTTCGGCGTCCCTCGATCATGATCGATAGTTGCCACATATCGATATTTTACTCATTGGTGGCAACCCTGTTTTCAAAGACCACAGAAACAACGACGCGCTGCTTGCGAAAATTTTCAATTATTATTGTTTGTGCCCCGAAATTGAGTAATAAAAGCAGATGGAATCTTCGGCGGTAAACGAAATAGCAGCGGGCTTGGGTGGCGAAAAGCTGGAAGTGTTCCGAAAGCTTAACCTTCTGGAACAGCATCGAGTGGAGAGCTTCAAAGATTGGCCCTTTCCCGAGACGTCTTCATGCAGCATTTCCAAGGTAAAAGAGAGGCTTTAATATTTAATATAATCTATTATAAGCATCTCTCGACAGATGGCTGAGGCGGGATTCTATTGGACAGGGACCAAACGGGAAAATGACACCGCCACTTGCTTTGTGTGCGGAAAAACCCTCGATGGTTGGGAATCCGAGGATGATCCGTGGAAGGAGCACCTCAAACATGCCCCCCAATGCGAGTTCGTAAAGCTATCGTGTGCCGAAAAGGATTTAACTGTGAGTTTGCATGGTCCCTGAACTCATATAACATCTGTAACCCGTGATACCCCCTCTATAGGTCTCACAATTCCTCGAAATACTCGGAACCGTTGTCAAATGCAGCATAGAGAAAACATGCAAAGCCTTTAAAATGAGCTTCATCCGGGAAAACGAAGAGCGTCTAAATGAGTTTACGCATAATGCAAAATAGAGCGCTAGTTTTTTAATTTTAAAATAATATAACATATATTTAACATGTCATGTATAAAGATTTTATAATAAAAAGGAATGTTTATGCCGTACAATATGTCATCACAAATTACAGTCAAAAGTAGATGCTTAGAGGCTTGCGAAAGAATTCATAAATAACAATCTAAAAATCAGGGACTTGTTAAATTTGCCATGAAAATTACAGCGAACCCAAAATCAAAAGTTTCGCTTGGTTTCACGGTCATACTAACCCTTTTCGAAACAGCTGATTGAAACCACCAAAAGTAAATTGTAAGCAGTTTTAAGAATCCCCCTACCATTTGACACTCGTTTTAAATTGCGGTTATCCGTCGAATTGAGCGTTATGTTAAAACGCAAATTGAACCAGCAAAAAGATAACCTGAAGGAGGACGAGCCCAAGAAGTCATATCCTCATGAAGGAAGTACATCCGATTTCTTTGTCCAGCCCCTGTGGTTGAAATTCTATAAAATCGAAGAAAATTTAAACGAGGAGCTAGACAATTTGATCCCTCCTCCAAACATTACGTGCATCTACAGCGTGGGCCCAAATAACTGTCGCACTTTTTCAAAGCTTCGGCACTCTTAAACAAGTGCTTCTATTCTTTTTGTTTTTTCATTTCTTCTTTCTTTATCTTATTTCGTAACTAACGGGGTTTATTGCTGATAAGATCAGTGCAAGTTAGAATTTTGGCGACGATGGAAGCAAAACGGGAGCTAGTGCAAAACTTGCATTTGCAAGGAAAAAAACAAGTGAAATTGTGAAGTTGCTAAAAAATCTCAATGTGAATAGGCGATTTGTTCAGCGCACTGTGGCTCGATTGAAGGCAACTGGAAGTGTTGATATAGCCAAAAAAACTGGTCGGAAAAGAAGTGTTAGAACCCCTAAAATAATAAAGAATGTGCGTGAAAGAATTAGGCGAAATTGTGCGAGGTCAGCTCGAAAACTAGCCAATGAGCTGAATGTGAGCCGCAAAACAATTAGAAACATCATAAAAGATGACTTGGGACTGAAACCTTACAAAAAAAAAGAATTCATGGTCTGACAGAACGTCAAAAAAAATGCGACAGGAAAGAAGTGGGCAGTTACTTCGGCGGCACGCAGGTTGCAATACTGTGTTTTCTGATGAAAAGTTGTTCATATTGCAAAAAAGCCTGAACCCGCAGAATGATCGGGTGTATGCAGCAAGTATGGAGGATATTTCAACAGAAAAAATTGCTGTTGAGAGATTCCAAAACACAACGTCTGTCATGGTTTGGGGGCCATATCTGAAAAAGGTAAGTTACCCCTTCTTTTTATCGATAAAGGCGTGAAAATCAATGCCAAATATTATTTGGATGAAGTGCTTGTGGGCCATTTTTATCCCCATGCATCAAAGCTGTTCGGGAATAAGCCATTTTGCTTCCAGCAAGACTCTGCTCCGGCTCATAAGGCCAAAACTGTTCAGCACTGGTGCAAAGATAACATTCCATGTTTCATGGCTGTTGATGAGTGGCCTCCATCGTCACCAGATCTAAATCCTTTAGACTTCTGCATATGGGGTTACATGCTGGATAGACTAAAGGATTTAAAAAAGATGAATTTGGAAAAGTTTAAGCGACACTTGACAAAAATTTGGAATGAAATTCCTGATGATGTGGTGCGTGCCGCTTGCAATAGTTTTAAGAAACGTTTGAAGCTCGCCCGAAAATACAAAGGGGAAAGATTAGAACTTAAGTCTTAGTAATGTAAGCTATATTAATATATATTAAATAAATAATATTTGTTACTTAAAATATCTCATGGTTTGTTTTTTATTTCAAAAATTAAGTGCGACAGTTATTTGGGCCCACCCTGTATAACCCGATAGTGTATGCGTCACAGCTGCATTGTGATTATTTGCGTCGTTATATGGATGGTCCCAAAAAGCTGGTGTTTATTGGGATGAATCCGGGACCCAATGGAATGGCTCAAACCGGCGTAAGTCTGTATTGCTTTATATCCTAGCAAATAGTTTGTTAGTATGTTTTCTAATAGATACCCTTTGGAAATGTGCGGACTGTTAAGGTTCTAATGCAACTATCAGGATCCGTGGATAAACCCCCTGTCGAGCATCCCAAACGTCCTGTAAATGGTTTGGATTGCAGGATCGAGGAACCCAGTGGGGTTCGTCTTTGGGAACTGTTTTTGCGATTAGCAGGAAACATGGAGATCTTCTCCCAGCAATGCTTTGTTCACAATTTCTGTCCTCTTTCATTTTTCGATGATGCGGGCAAGAACTTAACACCCAGTGAACTGAAAGGTCCATACAAAAAGCAGCTGCGAGATTATTGTTTTGAAGCCTTAGAGAAGCAATTGGTTCTACTAAAGCCCCAAGTGGTTGTGGCTGTTGGAGAATACGTTATGACCGCACTAAAACATTCAGCTTACTGCAAATCTGAGTCCGTCTCTGTGCTTCGTTTGCCACATCCAAGTCCTCGATCTGCAAACAATAACAATTGGCCGGAAAAGGCTCAGACTTTTTTAGAGGATAACAACCTTATCCACTTTATGCGGAATGAAGCTTAAAGGACAATTATGCATTCGGAATGCATTTATGAACAAAGAGAAAGTATTTTAACGTTTAAAAATTGGCAATACTCAATACAAAGTACAAATTTTGTAATTCGTAAATAAGAATTTTAATAAATATTCAACTAAAATTTGATTTTATTAATTTAAACATATTTAAGATGAATTAAAAAATGTAATTGTCAATTCGTGCAAATAACATTATAATAATTTGGCGTAATAAAGGATTCAAAAATCATAATTAAACCAATTTCGATTTATTTTACAAAGTAAATAGTACTAATTTGAAAAGAGGTTTTATGAGTAACATAGATTCTGCATAATACGTTTTTATGAAGGAGCAGGAAAGTACTGTCGATAGATATTATTTTCAATTCCAAACTAAGTGCATTCGGAATCTTAAAAAAAAGAAAAATAAGTGTGATTTGTTTTTTTTTTTAATTATCTTTAAATGCAGTAAATTCCTGAATTTTTGGTTCTGTGAAGTGTGATTTCGCTGCGTCACCGTGACTGCTCGCAAGGTGACCGTTCACCGTGACCACCAGCTGCTGCGCAGTGTTGCAAAATGCCGCCAGAGTGAGAGCTGTTCCGTGGTCGCCTATTGTTTTTGTTGACCTGCTGCGGCTTTTCATCTAGTTCGCCCGAGTCTATTTCCATGCCAAATGGCCGCCTTTATGGAGGAAGCGTTAGTGGAGGCTCGGCGGGCACGTGACGCCGGCGAGGTGCCCGTGGGCTGTGTGTTCGTTCATGGGGACAAGGTGGTCGCACGTGGCGGGAACGAGGTGAACGTCCACCGGAACGCCACCCGCCACGCGGAGTTCATCTGCATCGACGCGATCCTGGCTACCTGCCGTGAGAAGCGTCTGCCCGCCCGCCAGCTGTTCAGCGAGATAACCGTGGTGGTCACCGTGGAGCCCTGCATCATGTGCTCCGCCGCCCTGCACACCCTCGGTGTCAAGGAAATAATCTTCGGCTGCGAGAACGACCGCTTCGGAGGCAAGACTGTGGTGGACGTGGCCGCCGTCGTTGGCCAACGGATCGACATCACCGGAGGCGTGCGGGCGGACGAGGCGATGGCCCTGCTCAAGGAGTTCTACAAGGGCGACAACCCGGCGGCACCGCCGCAGGCCAAAAAGAATAAGTAGATCAGTCAGAGGAACCAGCTACTTTCGGGAACCGGAACTACTCATTACGGATCCACAGGCCGAGATAGGTCATAGGATCTCACTCAAGAAGAGAATGAACCAAAAACATGGGGAAGAAGGAGGAGAAGCACCATATACCAACTATTTCTCAAGAAAGAAAAACAGTTACCAACAAAGTAAAACAAGAATAGCACCTACTTCTTAAAAGTCAAAAGGCAGAACTTATTAAACCGCTGCCTTAAAAAGGGACAAATGAAAAAAACTATTATTCCCTAAAAAAGGAACAACTAATCCACCCAAAGTCATATTTATGAAAGTAATCTTAAAGAAGATATTCGGAGGAGAAAACAGCAATTACAAAAGAAATCCAAACACAATTGCATCCCGAAAAAACATTTAATTCCCGAAAGTCAAATAAGTTCCACTGTAGCATTCGTCGACGATTTCTGTATATGTTTCAATTTATTATAATCTTTAAGCATAGTCTAAGATATATATATATATATGTATATGGCGTTCAGAACGTATGTTTAAACTCTAAACATAAATACAATTACTGCATGAAAGCTACAACATTACGTGTGTGTAGTGAAGGCTGTGCCTGTTTCCACTATAGGAAGACTACTCATAAAACCTTTTGTTTCCTTTCCACTTGCGTAAAGTGCAGTCTTGCAGTCCGACACCAAGAATCTATTTAACCCTCCAACAATCAAAACTTGGGGAAATTTAGCATTTAAATCATATGTGACTTCTTTGAAGCTGATTTAGCTTTAGTTTCTTGAGAGAATTTAAATACTCTTGATATAGAGATAAAGTTGTACCAAAATGTATAGAAGTATATCTAAATCTGTTCAAAAACTCACAAGTTGTTGTCCTTAAAGTTCATCTAAATTTAATATTTTTCGTATTTCCCTTTCAAGACTTTTGATCTCGGAGGGTTAAACCCGTTCTTAACCTACTGTAATTTCCCTACGTCCTAAGCTAACTCTTCTGTTCGATCGTTTGCGGTGCCAGCTAATTTCCTCGATCCGATTAGGCTTGGTTAATCTGGCTATCAAGTGCAGGCACAGCAAACAAACAATGGCGGGCGACTAAGCGAATCTAGACTAAATCTAATTAAATGCGCATGCTGCGGCGTCTATGGCCAATGTTTAGCCACTCCAGCGGCACATTTCCGCCCACATTGTAGGTGGTTGGTGTGCAGTTGAGCAGCTTCCGGGCGGGTTCGCATCGCCGGCTAACATTCCAGTAGGCGAAACCCTGGGGACAGCGGTGGATCTGGCCCTCGATGCGTCCCGTCAGCTCCGAGAAGCCACATTTCACGAACAGCTGGCCGCACTGGTCGTCGTTGAGCGCGAAGTGACCCTCATCCGGGCAGAGTGGTGCCGTCGTGCTGATTTGTACCTATTACACGGGGTAGAGTAAAATTGTGTTGTTAATGTGAATTCATGTTCTAGAAAGTAGCAAGAGTCTTGAACAATATGTTCTACAATTTAAAATTTGATTGTCATTTCTAGCTCATGTCTAAAAAACAAGTCAAGTCAGACCAGCATTATAAAATAAAGTCAACAATTAAAAAAAAAAGTTTTTTAAGGATTTAAATTTGATATTAGAGAGCATCCAAGAAACAGAGAGCATCCATTTCTTATGAGTAACTCTATAAAGCACCTTAATTAAAATTATTTTTATATAGACTATAGTGTTCCAGGCTTATAGAGCTATAGGTTTATTAAAACTTACCACGTTCTGAAGTTTTGATTCCTGTTCGAACAAATTGGTGGTCCTCTTCATATCCTTGGAGCATTTGTCACCCGCCTGGGGCTTGCCACAGCTGCAGGTCTTGTCATGGTAGACAGTACCATTGGGGCATTGGAATACCACGATGTTTAGATCGTTGCTATCCGCACTCTCGCTGCACTGGTAGAACATGCCACACTTCTCCGGATGCTGGCGGAATCCGGTGGGACAGACGTACACATTCTGTCCGGGACCGGTTGACGGACAAGGTGCGGTGATATTGGAGCCGGGAGTAGGGCTTTCTGTAGAGGTTGGGGTCTCAGTCGTTGGCTTATTGGTTGTGGTTTCTCCCCCACTTGTGGTTGTGGTCTCTGGCTTGGCTGTTGTGGTGGTGGTGTCAGGGGTTTCAGTTGTAGTTGTTTCAGGGCTAGTGGTTTCAGTGCTTCCGGAAGAAGTCGTTTCGGGGGTTCCTGTGGAAGTGGTTGTAGGGGCTCCTGTGGTAGTGGTTTCAGGAGCTGCTGTAGTAGTGATTTCTGGAGCTGCTGTGGTAGTGGTTTCTGGAGCTTCTGTGGTAGTGGTTTCTGGAGCTCCTGTGGTAGTCGTTTCTGTGGCAGTGGTTTCGGGGACTTTCGAGGTTGTTGTCTCAGGGGTACTAGAACCGGTTGTATTTTCCGTAGTTCCTGGCGATGAAGTCGTCTGTCCAGATGAACAATTGCCCGACACCTGATCGGCATGATTGCAAGTTTCGGTGGATGTGTCCCAAACAGTTCCCTTACCGCACTTAAAAGCATAGACCTGGTACTTTCCATTCTTTGCCGCATCCACACAGCGATAGTAGCGCATGCAATCCTCGGGATCGGGGAAGAATCCTTCGGCGGTGCAGTTATAGTTCGGCTGGGGCTCAGGCTGAATTGTGGTAGTCTGACCCTCTGGCATTTCCGGGGTTGTTGATGTGGGTTCCGGTGTGGTAGTGGATTGTTGAACATGGGTCGTGGTTTCTCCAACAGTGGTTGTTGTACTGGGTTGTATCGTGCTTGTAATGGGTTCTGTTACGGGCTCAGCGGTGGTAGTGGGTTTATAACCTGGAGTAGCGGTTGTAGTTTCTACCACAACAGTTGTTGTTGTTGGCTCATAGCCGGGAATATCTGTGGTAGTGGTTTGCTGGGTGGTAGGTTTCCCGGGTTGTTCGGTTGTTGGGGGTTTTTGGGGACTTTCTGTTGTAGGTTCTTCAGTTGAAGTTGGCTTTCCGGGATATTCGGTCGTAGTGGGTTTTTGCGGTTTATCCGTTGTTGGCTCTTCGGTAGGTTTTGTGATGGGTTTTGTCACCGTTGTGGGCTCATCCGATGGCTGTGGGGTAGTACTTCCAGGTTCTTTAGACTCTTCATTTGGTGTTGTAGTCTCTGGATAGTTTGTGGTCGACGGTAACTTCGAGCACCTTGGTATGTTCTCCATGTAGTCACAGGTCTGGACATCTTCATTCCATCCTGTACCCTTTGGACACGTGAAGTTGTACTTTCTGTAGGAGGCTCCAGCGCTGATGCATCGGTAGTACTTTCTACAGTCTTCAGGATCGGCCATGTAACCCTCACCGGTGCATTCAGTGCCAGCTGGTAGAGGTTTCATAGTGGTTGTAGATGGCTGATTCGTTGTTGTTATGGGAGGCGTTAACGTTGTGATCTCAGATTCCGAACTTATTGTTGTTGTACTGGGTGGTACAGAAGTTGTGGTACTGATTGGTATCTCTGTAGTGGTTGTGGGTGGTATTCCTGTGGTGTTGGTGGGTGGTAAACGTGTTGTTGTCGTGGAAGGCAAACGAGTTGTTGTTGTTGTTGGTGGTAAAGAAGTCGTAGTGCTTGATGGCGTTGGTGTGGTTGTAGGTAGCTCTGTGGCCGAAGTTCCATTGGTTGTCGGTTCACAGGGAGGTTTCGGTGTGGGTGCTTCAGTGCCAGTGTTGCAGTTGTTGAAATTGTGGTTACAGGTCTGTAGATCCTGATCCCAAACAGTACCAGCACCACATTGGAATGGAATTTGAGTGAAGCCACCCTTGTTGTTCCTAACACAGCGATAGAACTTGGAGCAATTGTTGGGATCGGCCATAAAGCCCTCTGAGGCACATTTTCCATCAGTATTGGGTGACTGGGTAGGAGGTGATGAAGTTGGGGAGGAAGTAGTTGGTCTGGTGGTAGACGAACTGGAAGGAGTGGATGTGGAGGTCGGACCTGAAGGTCTGGATGTGGAGGATTGGTCTGATGGCCTAGATGTGGAGGATGGGCTTGATGGCCTGGATGTGGAGGATGGGCCTGAAGGTCTGGGTGTGGTAGTGGTTAATGGTCGTGATGTGGTAGGGGGAGGAGAGGTTGGAGTAGGAGCAATGCCACCGCATTCCTTTACAGCCCAAGCATGGTTGCAGGCCTGAAGTTGGGCGTCCCAAACTGTGCCAGGGCCGCAGTTGAAGGCCACCATGTTAAATCCGCCTCTGTCATTATCCACGCAGCGATAGAACTTGTTACACTCCTTACGATCGCCAACAAATTGGCCATTGACCTTGCAGGTTTCAGAAGGATTTGGTTTCGATGTGGTTGAGCTGCTGCTGGATGAGGATGAACTAGAGGATGATGAGGACGAACCCTGATTATTGTTGTTGCTTGAAGAGGATGAAGATGATGATGAAGATGAAGAAGTAGATCCACTTCCGGATGTATTGGCACCAGATGAAGAGCCGCTATTGGACGAGGAGCCTTGATTAGATGAGCCACTGTTGGAAGATGATCCAGTATTTGAGGAGGAGCCGCTATTTGAAGATGAACCACTGTTTGAAGAAGATCCACTGTTATTTGAAGATCCTGTGTTTGAGGAGGAGCCACTGTTCGAAGAAGATCCACTGTTGTTTGATGATCCAGTGTTTGAGGAGGAGCCACTGTTAGAGGATGAACCACTGTTCGAGGAAGATCCACTGTTGTTTGATGTACTATTCGAAGAAGAACTGCTGCTGCTAGACGAGGATCCGCCTTGATTGACCACTTTTTTGCACTTCAGCGGGTTGGTCTGAATCTGATCGGGATGGTTGCAGCTGTTGGCCTCAGGATCCCACAGAGTGTTGGGAGGACAGGTGAAGGAGACTTTATTAAATCCACCCTTACCGTTGTCCACGCAGCGGTAGAACTTGGAGCAATTCTCTTTGTCATCCAGGAAAGTTTCCTCACTCTCGCACTTCTCAGCGGGCCTAAAGGGTTTCTGCGTGGTAGAGGATGAGGATTCTTCAGTACTTGAGGACGAAGTTTGGTTAGAAGAAGATGATTGCTGAGAGGACGTCGTTTGATTAGAGGAGGACTGGCTGGAAGAAGATCCTTGGTTGGAGGAAGATCCCTGATTGGAAGATGATCCCTGGTTGGAAGAAGATCCCTGATTGGAAGAGGAGCCTTGACTGGAAGAGGAGCCTTGGTTGGCAGAGGAACCCTGGTTTGAGGAAGATCCTTGATTGGAGGATGATTCCTGGTTGGATGAAGATCCCTGATTGGATGATGATCCCTGGTTGGAAGAAGATCCCTGGTTGGAAGCAGACCCTTGATTAGATGAGGATCCTTGGTTTGATGAAGATCCTTGATTGGAAGATGACCCTTCATTGGAGGAGGAACCTTGATTGGATGATGATCCCTGGTTTGATGAAGATCCCTGGTTGGAGGAAGAACCTTGATTGGAGGAAGATCCTTGGTTGGAAGAAGATCCCTGGTTGGATGAGCTACCACCGCCACTGGCCATTGCTCTGCACTGTATCTTTTGCACATCCGTAGGATGGTTGCAGCCCCTAGTATCGGGATCCCAGACCGTTCCCGGAGAGCAATCGAAGGAAACAGTATTGAAGCCACCGCTACCGTTCTCTACACAACGATAGAATCGGGCACAGTCTTTTTTATCTGCCAAATATGTTTCAGTATCCTTACATTCACCATCGGGATTGGAAGGCTTGGGAGTTGTTGCTTGAGTGCTAGATGAATTATTATTGGAGGATGAGCTTTGGTTGTTGGATGTGGAAGACGATGATGAGATTTGATTGGAGGACTGATTGTTCGATGAGCCATGACTGCTGCCTTGATTGGATGATTGATTACTCGATGAGCCTTGGTTGCTTGATGTCTGATTGTTTGATGAGCCTTGATTGCTGGAGGAGCCTTGGTTGTTGGCGGAGCCTTGATTGCTGGACGAACCCTGATTACTAGAGGATTGATTGCTAGACGAGTTTTGGTTGCTTGAGGATTGATTGCTAGATGAGCCTTGATTGGAGGAGCTGCCGCTGCCACCAGAGTTGTTGCTACCAGAGTTGTTGCTACCACTGGTTGAACTCGATTGAATGTTGCACTTCTTCTTTTGGTCCTCATTGGGTAGATCGCAGACCTTATCTTCCTGGTTCCATACAGTGCCGGGACCACAGGTAAATGGCACTTGTTCCAATTTTCCATCCTTATCTTTGCGACATCTGTAGAATTTGGCACAGTCTTCTTTGTCGGGGATATAAGTGTTCTCATCTTCGCATTCAGTGGGTGCAGGTTTATTGGATCCACTGGCAGTTTGATTGCCCGAGGAGCTCTGATTGCTGTTGGAGCTAGAGGATTGGTTGCTATTAGAACTCTGATTGTTGTTGGATGATTGATTGCTGCCAGAGCTCTGAATGTTTCCGGAGTTTTGATTGTTGTTTGAGGATTGGTTGCTGCTAGAACTTTGATTGCTTCCAGAACTTTGGTTGCTGCTTGAGCTTTGGTTGCTGCCAGAATTTTGAGAGCTTTGGTTCTGGTTGTTGCTGGAGTTTTGGTTATGGTTTGAGGATTGGTTACTTTCAGAGCTTTGAGTGCTGCCAGAGTTTTGGTTCTGGTTACTGCTTGAGGATTGGTTGCTGCCGGAATTTTGGGAGCTTGAGCCTTGATTGCTGCTGGAGCTCGTGCTGGATTCCTGATTGTTGCTAGAGCCGGAGCTGGATTCCTGATTGTTGCTAGACGTAGAGCTCGACTGATGATTGCTGCTGGATGTGGAGGACTCCTGACTCGAGCTCGAGCTAGATGTCGAACTGGATGAAGAACTGGAGCTTTGAGAGGAATGAGACGAACTAGTGGACGAGCTCTGCTGGCTGCTTGAGGTGGAGTTCTGGTGGCTGGACTGCGACGACTGTGTTGACGTTTGGCCGGCGTAATAGCCATCGTTCTGTGGTTCCGCCTGATTGCGGCAGCCACCGTTGGCACGTACGTCAAACATGTGGTTGCAGGACTGCAGGGACTCGTCCCACGCAGTGCCATCGGAGCAGCGGAAGCCGATTCTGTTGTAGCCCCGACCATTCGAGATGCAGCGATAAAACACGGTGCAGTCGCTGGGATCGCTCATGAAGCCATCATCCCGACATATTGCTGCCGCACCGCCGTCCTCCTCCTCTGAGCCAATAGCTCGCAGGGACGATGAGCTGGAAAAGGATATGACAGAGACACCGCTGAGACCTGTCAGGCCATAATTTGTGGGCAGCCGATGGGTTGACGTATAGGTTCGCAGCTCATTGGCCGCAGGTGTGACGGCCAGGTTAAGCATCGCATTATGGCCGTCCTGGCCGTAGTCGTTCTGCTCCCACTTCTCCACGCTGCCGCCGTCCACCTCGTTCACCTGGTCCACGCACTCATCCCTTCCAGCCATCGCTGGTGGCAGGCACATTCGCAGCGAACGCGAGAAGACTGCATCTTCTGGACAGGCCAAAAGATAGGGTCGAATGTATTGGCCCGTCCGCCGCTCGCAGCGGTAATAAATCCGGCAATCGTAGTCGTCCGCAAACAGACCCTCTCCGGGACAGTAGAAGGCCATCTCTGTCTGGGCCATTGGCGATGGGATGTCTGCAATAAAAGCAAGGGAAGAGGCCATTAGCTTTTGATGTTTGTACCAACTCAATTAATGCGATTATAAATGTAGTATACTACTTTCTCACTATTCAAAGCTTAGAAAACCATTAACAACTTTGTACGGTCTTAATTTATATATAAGTGAAATAAGATAACAAACTAACTTAATTTAAAACTGGCTTAATGAACTCAAAAGAGAAGTTCGATAAACATTGAATCAAAGGAAAAAATGATGTTTAAATCAAAATGCAAAACAATCAGAATAAATCTTTTTGTTTTTGTCTCATTGGTGACAGCATAGGTCAAATAAATTCAATAAAACTGCATTATCTTTCAATAAAATATTTACTTAAATAAAAAATGCGTTTCCTTAACTTGTTTTTGTGCTGAAGAGAATCAATCTACAAATTAGCATTATTTTTTGAGTATATATGGCCAGGCAATTTGAAATCGCCCTCTGGAACAAACCATTGAACTGAAACTTTCTGTCACAAATTCTCTCGAATGCATATATTACATATATGTAGTACATGGATATCAAACACATCTATCCACATATATTTTGCTCAATTTGGTTTGACATTTTACGCGCTCATCTTTCGTTTTTCATTTCGGGATTTTTCGCGCTGTCAAAATAAAATTGATAATTTATTGTCATTCAATGTGCGAGAGTCCTCTTTTTCAATTTGTTGCTGTTTTTCTTGTTGTTTGTTGGTAGCAGACTCTGCCTTCTAATAAATTTAAATGCATTTATGCCCGTTACAGCGGAACAAATTCATTTCGAAAATGAATTGTGAGTATGTGCTTTTTTTCGGTATGTTTTTTATCCGCCCTTACATTTCTTGTCTGTCCTATACCAAGTCTTGGTAATAAAGGGGGCCAACAGGCTGTGAACATTGTAAATGCGCGGCTAAAAATTAGACCGGGTCTAGGCATAAATTTACATCAGTCACTGTCTAATATATTTGATTTCGTTTTTTCTCCTCGCCCTTCTGTTGTTATTTTTGGAGCATGTAAGCTTTGGCCAATGGTTTATGGTTAAAATGGCCGGAGGCCAAATACATAATTCTTATGAAAATTGCCAAATTTAATGGCCATAAAATTTAATTATACCAACTGTGGTTAGGACGAACAGACGAGAATATTTATTAGTGGAAAATTGTGTCAGATTGATGGAAACTTTCAGTGTAAGGAAGGCGAAATGTGTGAATATGTTTGTATGAAATTTAATTTAAAACTACCAATTATAGGTAAGTAATGCTATTTCCGTTAAGTTTTCCTATGACTGAAATAAATCGGCTTAAAAGTCCTAAAAAACTTACCTTCAACAAATTTCATGTAGAAATGAATACAATGTTAAAGAGTCATAACTTAATATGAGTCTGTAAAAAATTATTGTATTAATAACAAATAACAAAATGCCACTTGAATTCTTTACGACCCCGTGTATTTACACGCCCATCTGCATCAATGGTAAAACGCTTAAATTTTAAATGTAAACTAATTTAGTAGAACGCCTCACAGCACACGGCTTGGACCGCTGCTCGTTGGCAAACAAACATAAAGTTTCAATTTGTACACGAAAGCCCAAAAATGCTAAACCCATTACACAAATGGCGGCAAAAGGATGGGGATGTGTACCAGTCGGAGCAGTCGGAAGGATGGCAAGGATCCTTGCCTCCGTCCTCTAGAGTTGAGGGAAAATTGACCGTTTTACGATTTTAATTATATATGATGTGTACTTTAGAACTTATGCAAAATGAAACGAAAGGAGAGCGCGGCAATGCGACCGCAAACTTATGCGTTGCTATCCCCTCCTCCCTCCATAAATATGTATATATATTCGCTGGCATTTGCCAACCGGGAGCAGGCGTAACATGGTTAGCCACAATCTGACCGCAGAGCATGGCCGCAAATAGTTTCGGATATGCCATTGCCACTGCCACCCACAGCCACCACGCAGCAGCCAGCAATGCCCATGCCCCAACACCACCAGTTCATTGCATTAAAATTTCAATTTTCAACATTTAGGCACGTTACGGTTTACGAAAATTTAGTTATAAAAGCATGCATAAGTACAGGTACACCATGTGCAATTTCCCCCTTTCCCATGTTTTTATAAGGCATCATTTTCATGGCCCAGCCAGCTGGCGAAAGTGACAAATTGTGATTTCCATTTTTCGCTCTATTTTTCCTTGATAATTAAATATTTATTGAGCGGCTGGCTTGTGCGGTTTAATTTTTTGTGGCCCAGTCCACAGCTGGCTGTCATTGAGTTTGCTTCGTTGAACAGCAATGTCTATTATTTACATTTGCATTTAATAAATAGAAATCTTCACAAATGGACAACTTTTATATCTTTTTCTGTCCCTATAGTTGTTTGTTTTGGAGGTTTTACAAAATGTCAACTGGGAACGCTTATAAGCGTTTCAATGTCGCTTGAGGCTGTTTTTGGTGTGTGTTTGATGGGCTATTTTGTTACAAGCAGTCAGAGCAAATGTCCCTTAATTAGTCATTAAAAGTTTCGCCATTATATTCTGTGCCTGATTTTGTTGCCTTTTTTTGATACTGCTACCGCAGGCGTTTTGTAATTTAACTTGCACAGATAGTGAATTGAGGGTGCCGAAAAAGGGGAGTTGGTGGAAATTTAAATACTTTTGGGTATAAATAAAATACAAAAACAATAGTTATTATTATTATTATTATTATTCTGAAATTAAGTACTATACATTTTCTGATTTTGAGTTCGTAATTTAAAATTTAAAATTTAAAAATGCTACAAAAATGGTAACTTGTTCTTCAGATTGCCATTTACTGGGATTTATATTAATATTTTTTTTTGTATTTCCGAGAATAGCAAGTAAGACAATTATATAATAGTTTTTCTATCCAAACTTCAATCCTTATCATGCTTCTGGTGACGTGATTCTATTACATGGCTCAGAGAGTGCAATGAAACAAGTGAAATTCAAATGCCAGTTACCAGCTTGACATTAGTCGCTTGTCTCATTCTTTAATATCCTTAACTCCGGGTCTTTTTTTCTCCATCTGCCTCTATCACTATTCCCATGAAAAAACTCCCCGAGGACCTTATAGTTGAAAGTTGTAAATATGATATTTGGATTTTTGAGCTTTCGCCCATCGCCGGGCTGGCAACTCGGTAATTTCATTTGCCTCTGGTGGCATTTTGCGCCTGTGTCTTCATGTTACGTACGTGTTGGCCGGATAGTCCGGAATCCGGATAGTGGAGAACCGTATTTTCGTTTGAAGTGCATGTTTATGCCACGCCCATTTCATTCTGTTCCGCCGGCCCCGCTCAAATTTCATGGTGGCAAATGACCAACTACAGGAAATTCAATTTATTATGCAGCTTGACAGTTTTTAGCCATTTTCTCTCTAAGATGGCAGCTGTTTCTACTGCTCCACTTTTTGCACTGCAAAAATACTAGTCGAGAACAAATACTTGAATATAAGGGTATAGAAGAAAAAGTTTAATCTGTAACATCATAGATCTTCCAAAACAAATACAAAATCATTCTTGAAAAAGAAACGTAATTGGTTTAAACTTCAATATTATTTTGTTAGATGAATGGAGGTAGGCTTTGCATATATATTTTTAACCTAGAACAAAGTCAAAGTTAATATTAATTTATGATTTAATGACTCTTATTTTACCCTCAAATTTTTTCTCTCTGTTTAATACTCCTTACTTTCCTGATCCTGAGCTGCTGCTTTTTGACAGCGGATGAAAATGAAACAGAAAAATAAAAATGAGTGAACTTCTCGCTAATTCTGGCATCTGTCGGACTTCATTTTGGAGTCTCCTTTGAATTTTTTTCTATTCCTACACCGATTTTGAATGCGATGCGCCAGATGCATTTGAATTTCGCGCTGCGCTGCGCTCGAACAGATTTTAATATTGGCAAACGTCCTTGAGGGCATCGATTGTTCCTTAGAAATTTCGCTTTGGCCGGCAGTTCCAGTCATTACTCATACGCTGCGTGTGACACAATCGCCACTATGCATTATTCATGGCGATGCGGCAACGCTGGATAAACTTGTCGGAAAAGCTGCCGACAGCTGGCAGGGAAATGTTAAATATTTAAATGCCTTCGGCACCCCAACCTCGCGCTAAAAACCAGCTCACTGGGAATTGCCTTACACTATGAGCAATTAATTTGAATTTGAACTATTTAGAGGCATCCGCTTGCTTCGTAAGGGGTCGTTGGATGGGGTAACTGGGTCCCAGGACCTGCCATCCTGCCGGTAAATTAAGCATAAAGCGCTTTTAGTTACAATCACGTTCGTCTCAATTAAACTACATTAAATTCAATTAGCAGGCAACAGGAGCACGAAATGAAAGCAACATTGTCATTACGGTTTCAGGCGATGGCATCTAAGGTACACTGAGACAAGTCCTACTTAAGTGTCTTGAATAAAACTAAAACTTGAATAAAACATTGAATTAAGTGGAGTTTGAATATTTCTTATGATCTTTTATAGTCCCTTTTTTAATATTGGCATAAACAACATTTATATTCTTTTTTTTTAACTAAATTTTCTAAAATGTTTTGTTTATATTTTCTCTTGACTGGGATATAAGAAACTAATAATAAGCTTATTAAAATTTTTCTGTAAGTTTCAATGCTCGGAATTATCAACCACTCTTTAATTTTTAATATAAGACATTTTAGTATTTTAATTTAATATCACAATAATATTTTCAGTGCAGCAACGATAAGAGCATTGTCTTCTAGCCCTAAGAAAAGGACTCAAGACGCAGGACAAAATCTAGCGATGGCCTGACTGACAATTGACTTTCATTATTCCTTACATTCCTGGCTGCATTATTGAGGCCTGGTGCTGGGCATATTTGACAGGCCGAAGGAGCTCCTTCGAGGAGCTCCTTACGGGCACTGCTGCCTTGGCGTGTTAGTTTCCCGGTGTAATTAAGTTTAATATTTAATTTAATTGCATAAAGACACACGCACACA